CTACTTCACATGGGGATTGGGTATTATAACTTCCACATGAAGTATTAGCTGTGTAATTAGCTTTTTGTTGTTATGTGCCATCAGCCACACTGAATACATAAAAATCTTTATTTACTTTCTAAGTAATGGTAAGGCAATTTGGGTTACACAACAAGTTAAAATGATAAGACAATTCACAGAAAGAATTCAAACTCCATTCCTTGCTCTCTGCAACTTTCAGCTGCCCTCTCTTCAGAATATCACTGACTAATACCAGGTCAGCAAAGAAGCCCAATCCCCGTGCAGTTCTTTCCTCAGTACAACTAATCCCAGCAGTAAATACCATCTATTGAACAGTCAGAACAGTCCTGTTTAACAGCCACCCGTTTTACCACTTATCCCTGTGAAGTTGACAGAACCTTGGAGAAGTAAGAGCAAAAAAGGGAGAGGGTGCAGCAGGAAAGACATAGGTACTGGATGATGGAGGCCTTATTTCCTGTATTAGTAGCGTTCTGCTTTTAGGCAAACACTGACATTTATGCGGATATAATCAGATGACAATCTGGAGCTCTTGGAGTTGGAAATCACCAGGTAACAGGCTGCCTGAGACAGTCCTGAGCTCTTGAGGAACCAAGATCAGCTTCCACAAGAAGCAGATTTCTCTGTTTCTGCGGCAGATGCTGTGGCACCACTTATTCCCAGGGAACACCAGCGCCTAAAGATAAAGACTTGGGAAAGTAGGCAGGTGAAGGAACATTTTCTTGGAGAGGACAGTCCTCCAGGAACACACAGAAAGAAGCTTAAATGAATACACCATTGTTAGGAGCCAGTCAGAATAAGTAGCTGGAATCTCAGCACAGTGTCATAGCAATGTTGTTGTTAGGTGCAAATTCATGCCCGATCCATCACAACCCCATGGACAACATTCCTCCAGGCTCTCCTGCCCTCCACCATCCCTCAGAGTCTACCCAAGCCCACACCCACTGCCTCAGTGACTCCATCTAGCCACCTCATCCTCTGTCATCCCCTTCTCCTTTTGCCATCAATCATTCCCATCATCAGGGTCTTCTCCAATGAGTTGTTCCTTCTCATTAGGTGGCCAAGAATTTGAGTTTCATCATGGCAATAAAAATGTTTAAAATAATGTTCCTTACTTTAGATGCACAAATGTTAGTGGCAGTTGTGAACTGGGGCTTCTCTTCCATGTTTAATTTCCTCTCCATGTTACAAGCAGTCTTAATCAGGCTTCCTGACTCCATGACCTTTTGGGTGGTAGATTGCCCCCTGGATACTTCTCTTGTTCTAAACATTCAAACCAGAATCCTCGTTTTGAGTTAACCAGTTTGCCAAAATTTAGCAAAGTGTCTCTCCTTTCAGTATGAGACTTCTAGCAAGGAGCAAACCAGTGTTTTCTGTGTGCTTGATTTGCAAGTCAAGGTGGGAAGGCAACTTCCTTGCCTCTCCTTGCCTCCAAACCTGATAAAAGGGGGATAGAATGCTTGCCTTTTTTTCCACTGGGATCCTTTGTAATTTTCCACCCTGTGGTCACTCTGAATCAGGGTACCTCTTCCTGTCAGTGCAGCAGGAGGAATGTGTTGTATTTTCCTGTGTCCCCTATGTGGGAGCAAGTCATTTTTGTGAAAACAACACAAGCTAGATAGATTTATGGTTCACTTTTCTCCCCTTAAGTGTCCTTTTCTTCCCTTTAATCCCTTTGCATGTTTTTCTTTTAATAAACATTTTCTTCTACTTTAAAGAGAAGGTTTGGTGTAGATTTCTGACCAAGATCCAAGAGGGTCTCAATTCACATGGCCTAAACAGCCCTAACACTACAGAGGAATCTGGACCGGGCTATGGAGGGAGGGAGCTCACTCTTGATGTGCTGAGATGACTGCAGCTGGGTGCTCTTTCAGCCCTTGAACAGAAATACCTGGATTCTTTCCCGTCCCAAGCCAGGGGAAGACAGGAGGGGTGCCACCGTCTAGTTCAAACAGATTATTTGGCTCTGAAGCCAATTAGTGTATTGAGAGCAGGGAGGAACATGCAGGAGCGTGATCTATTGCAGCACTGATGAAGGAGCTACACCCGCTTGGATCAGGTTATTAATCTGAAGCCTTAAGTGTCTGCACAAAGCCGTAGAATAACTGTGGCAATGGGCGCCACATCTGGCTGCACGCTTTTCACGTCAGTTGTCCCCTGCTCATGACATCACAATTTCACTTCTCAGTGGAAGGCTGCCCATATAGCAGCATGGAATCCAAGGGGGAGGTGGGGGAAGCATCGTTACATAATGCCAGCATGATAAAGTCCATATATTTCTCAGTTATAATCAAAATGCTTCTTTTATCAGCTTCTGTTATTCCTGTGTATAATCTCAGTAATAACTTTGGAATAACACAGTTCAGGATCTAATGACAGTTCCAGTTGCTCATGCAAGTTGGTAAGTATCATGGAAGGAGAAGCTAATCTCTTTGCTGACTGAGTGTAGCCGTTAGCTGTTTGTTCTGCTTTGGGTGAGGCCAAGGTGGATTAAATTCCAAGAGTGATTTTACAAGGCTGTTGAAGTCAAGGCAAAGGGCAAGAATCCAGACAAAGGCAATCAACAGGCTGTCCAAGGTCTAAACTAGCAGGGTTTAATCAAATTGCTAAAATCCAGACAAGGGCAAGTCCAAGCATAGAGGCATAAGGCAGTCCAACATCCAACTCAAGAGGGTCCAGAACAGTAAGGGCTACAGAACCGGGGAGAATGCAGGCAAGGCCCAAAGCTGCTGTTTCAGCAACTCTCCCTGTTTAAGACTGAGGCTTACAAACCTGAGCTCCTAGAGGCATTTCCAAGGCTAAGCTGCAGGTCATTAAGAGAATTTGGGTAGAACTGGAATTCATGAGGTGGACTTTGCTCATGAGGCAGTGTTTGCTTCTGGGAAGTCATCTCATGCAAGCATGCATCCATCAGCCGGCCACTGTCCCAGCATGTATCTTTAGGTGCTCCACCTGGTTTTCTTAGGGAAATGGAAGTATAAATAAATAAAGGCGAAGTGGTTTCTCGAGGTCTGAAGCTTGAGAAAGCAGGCTTGAATCTTTCTCCCCAGAACTGACTTGGGCAGCCCCTAAAGAGGTTGCCAGCTTGTTCCCTGTGGACATCTGTCTCCAAGGGTTCTAGACTGTTTTTGATGAGTCCCTCAGGAGAGACCTGAAAATGGTGCTCAAAGAGATGGAACCAGCTGTCTTAAAGCAAATAAGGAAAAGCAGTTTACTCATATCAGCACTAGAAGCTGAACATTCCTTGATTAATATATCTTGAGTGTCATCTGTTCTCATGGATGCCTTTGCAAATTTTCCTGGATGTAGTGGCATTCAGGCCAGTCTAGTACAGAAAAGTTTTCCTGGATCTTTCAGTCAAGGTTTTGTTTTCACTTGAAGTCTGGTCTCCTCCTTTAAAACAAGTTGATAACTGGCATATGCAGAGGAGTGATTTTGACAATGATGGGAACTCAAGAACATAGGTTTGATATGTACCATGGGTACCAGGACCAAAACGGCTGAGCTGTACAACACAGACCCATGATCAACATTCCCTTGATTCCTTTGCCTCCGCCCATTCTCCTGTTTCCTCTGGACCAATAGCACTTCACATTGCCTCTCTTACCTAGGCACTGTGTGAGATTTACCTTCTTTCTTTTTAACCCTACCTTTTCCTCATGCGGGAACCATGAACCCAAGCCCACTTTCTTACGTTTTGGCGCATGTGCTCTGTATTTACTCCAAATCTATGTTTCTTAGTCCACTCTAGTCTCCTTTCTTCAGCCACCAGAGTGCTTTGTAAAAATATGTATTTTTCAATTTGCTTGCACTAGTAGAAATTGTGAAATGGGCTCTTGGCATCAGTGGTGTGGGGACTTTGACCTTTCAGTGCCTCTTTTCTGATGTATCCCTCAGTGCTTAACACGCACCTGTTTCTTGTCTGCATGTGCACTTCTGATCGTTAATTGTTGTAACTATACAGAGCTTTTGGGACCTCATACACCCTTTCATGTCTAATTGAGCCAGTGTTTGTTATGGTGTTAAAAGTTCATTTTAATAACTTCTTGACTGAAATCCAGACTGTGCTGTGCTGGAAAACACTTATTTACTAATCCCCCATGTGTAAAGTCTACTGAACTAGGATGATGAGTATGTCTTTTTAATTTCCAGATCTGAATGTGTAGCAAGTGTAAATTATCTGCTAGTGTGTGGGTAGAAAGTGGGTTTGAGGGCCTTTGCAAATCTTATCAAAATGCTTTTTATTGATGCTAGATAGCATTGTAGCATATGATCCTTTTTTCTAATCTTTGAATTGCAAAGGAGAGTCCATTATTCTAGTTAAAAGAGCCACACTGGTGGGAAAATTGACATCAGAGATAATCTTACTTCTAAAACTAATTTGTCCTCATCGTCATCCCATAATTTACCTCACCTTATCAGTTCCTACTTATTTTTACAGTAAAAAATGCACAGGATGGCTCTGTATGAAGATACTTTGTCTTTTGGAGCAAAAATGAGCGTTCAAAATCAAATTGCGCAGATAATGAACTTCAGGACCGGTAGGCTGTTACTTCAGCAGAAACCAGACTAACAACTCCTAGCATGTAACAACCCAAGAGCCTGATGCTATGCATTGCAAAGAGCAAATTTCTGTCTAAGTTTCAAACACCACTCCAGTTGCTTGCTAAGTCATACTCTTGTAGCACTTTTATACAGATTAATAGAGGAAGAGCTCACAGCTTTATGTTGGAAACCAGGATGCTTCCAGACAAGGCTTTCTTGGTGCCATCACACTGCCTCCTTCATGGAAGTTTACAGCAGGTCCAGATTATGCTAACTTTCCTGTGCCACTTCCATTCTTTTCCTACAATGAAGAAAATGGCTTAAGGAGAAAAGCTGCATGATGCCTGCTAATTGCTATTCCCAAGAGCTCAGTCTGGAAGCACCTGTAGTTTTGATCTTTTGATATATTTCATTTAAGAAAGTTTTGTTTCTTCTAGTTGTACACCAAAAGATATTGATGATGAGCCCCCTTTGTCTGCTTGCAATCAGACTTCGGAAGAAGTAAGAAAACGGCAAAATTCAAGTCAAGGTTCCCGAGGAAGCGATTCCTCTAGGACATCGAGAAAAAGCTTCAGAATTGACTATAGATTGGAGGAAGATGTAACAAAATCTCAAAGAGGTAAAGATGGGAGGTTTGTCAATCCTTGGCCAACATGGAAGACACCATCTTTTTCAAATTTTTTAAAGTGGACTTTTACAGAAAAGGACAACAGCAAGGTCCCATCTTCAAAGCAGGTAAATAATTGAATATTACTATTAAAGACACTTGTTCATGCTTGAAGCATGACAGGGCCACTTCATACATCTTTTTCTTAGGGGTAAGCATAAGTTGTTTGAAACAAGCACTTAATTGTTTTTAAGTGCAAATATGATAAATCTTGTATTATCATACAGGAATATTCACCATAGGACTGAATGTATCATCAGTGTAATCTAATGTGTGAAACTTTTCTAAAAGTTGTTTTTAAGAGCAGTTGGACTTGGAATTTGTAAAAGCCCAAGGCTGCATCTGCAGGTGATTTTGTGAATGACCTAGCCCTCAGATTAGCCCTGGGACAGAGTTTAAATACACTTTAAATAAGTTAATCAAACTATTTATCATAGGATATTCCTTTCTACTGAGTCAGACTACTGATTCATCTAGCCCAGTTCTGCCGATACAGATTGGTAGTGGCTCTCTAGACAGCTATTTTTAACATATATGCAAGCAGCAGATTGGAAAGTGTTGGTCTTCTCCCTTTGTGTATTTTAAAAAGAAACTTCTATCCTCTTAATAACTTGCATTGTGTGCATCTATTTGATACCGTGATATTTATCCCCAAATACAAAGCAACTTGGGTGAATTGGTCCCAGGAAAAGAGTTGTGAGCAATACTTGGGCATCTGCCATTTGATTCAGGTTAGCTCCTTGTGACAAATTGTCCTCTCCCAATAGATTACTCCACTGCTTATGCTGGAAACACATTTAAGGATCAAGGTGAGCCCAGGACCTCTTTGGAGTGAGAGCATCCTTGTTGGTTGGCTGATAGTCCCCCAAGTATATGTTTGCAAATGAGTATTACTGTGTAAGTGGAGAATTTGTGCATGTATGTGGAGCCAGGGCCAGAGTTAATCAGAATTAAGACAATTCCTCAGTCTCTGCCAAGGTGCAGTTTAGACCAACCTTCCCCAGCCTGGTGTCCTTGGTTGGGTAGGCTTGTAACTCCCATAATCCTCCTATTTGTCTGGATTCTTCAGGACAGGGCAGATTATACTTCTTAGGCAGAGAAACAACTAGCATGCTATCTCATGTAATGTGCCCACTTCTGGTCACTACACATTTTAAGAAAAATGTAAACAAATTGAAATGGGTTCAGAGGAAAACAGTGAAAAATGAATGTGGTGTAGAAAACTAGTCTTGTGAAGAAATCTGAAGAAACTACTCAGGGGAAGGAAGATTTGAGAAGCAACATAACACTCTTGAAATACTTGCAGGCCTGTCACAGTGCTGAAGGCAAATCTTGTCTTCTGCTGTGCCAGAGGGCAGGACATGTTCAAATAAGTTTTAGTTATAGAAGGGAAGATCACAGGTTAACACTAAGAAAAAAAGTTAATGGTTAAAGCAGTTTGGTGGTGAAACCAGTTCCCTAGGAGTATGTGGCTCACCCTCACTGTAGCTTTTTACTTTTGGATTGGGCTAAATGGCTTACTAAATGCCTTCTGACTTAGTGATGCATGCCACAAAGGTACACTTGCAGACGTGAAATACATCAGAATACATCTGAGAGTGCAAGAAATTGGTGGAGGAAGGTAGGAATTAAGATGCTATCCACTGAAGCAGCTGTGACAGAGCATAAGGTATGTGTATCATATGCCTGGTATAATACCTAGAATGAGTCAAGGAACCAAATCTTCCCTCCCTCAACCTGATTCATCATGTCTTACCTTTTTAACCCAAGCATCACATTTACTGTTACACTTGACATATAACATCCATTTCTCCCTGCATTGACAAGATTGGGGCATGTCTTCCATCAGCCTGAAAGCAATTTAATGCAGCTTACAATCTTAGGATAAAATGAATCCTTCCTTTTAAATGTTCACTCTTCATGAATGTAAAGATGGTCCTGAAAACATGTATCCAACTTTTGTTTCTCTTTATCTATATTTATATACACTCCACCTTTCCAATCAAATAACGTCTCCAAAAGGCCTACCAACAATGGTAACAACGCAGAGCTCATGTGCATACACATACAGAGGCATCCCGGCTGTCTTTCGTTCCCTGTCCAATGGAGAGAGCAAAATGTGCTTGCTTCCATTTTGGCAGCCCCAGGGCCACAGTCATCATAAATGGAGTGATCTTTCTGCTATTTGGGGAAACAAACTCCATGTAGCTGCTTCTTTTCTGGCAAGTGGATGGGACTAGGCTGGCCTTCTTCTTGCGAGGCAGGATGGACCCTTCCCATGGTCATTGGTCTTTTTCCCTGGCTGGTGGGAGACTCAGAATGTGCCTGTCTTTCAGCTCCACAATCTCAATTCTTCTGCTAGTCTCCTGGTAACTCACAGTGTCTGGAATGACCTAGATAGGTATGCTAGGAATGGTTTCATTGTATTTGACCAGCTGTGACAAGTTTAGGAGGATTAACCATGGTCTGGTACACTGGGTATTTTGCTTAAGCATTTGGCTTGCTAGCTGGAACATTCCAACAGCTGTGTCTGCTTCAACATGCTTCATATAGGCCTGTGCATTCCATATTGCCCCTTCAGCAGAAAGCCAGGATCTGATTCTGCTGTTGATCACAGCAATTGGGAAAAGTTTTGGATTGTCGCCTTCCTTCCAAGGACCCCACTGTTGTCTCATTTGTGAATTGGCTGGGGAGTCTTTTGGTTAAAGCAGACAGTTTAGTAAAGCTTAAATACATAGGAACCCTTGTGGTTTCCTCTGGAAATTGAGTACCTGTCCACTGTAGAGAGGGGGCCCATCTCTTGCTCCAAACAGGCTGCTCAGATCAGTTTGTCTGATTCTGAGGAGGAGGTGGAAGAGCAAGTGAGGGGAGAAAGAGTTGACTAATTCAGGGTTACCTAGTGATGCTTCTCAGGTGGTGAATGAGAATCTGCCTGCCTTGGAAAAGCAGCGGTTTGTTGAGGTGGGAGGGAGAGCTGACCTGGTCAGCAAGACCTGGCCCTTGAGCTGGTCAGGTGACAGTGGGAGAAACAAGCTGACCAGGTACAAGGGCTCAGGTTTTCCCACCACCCAACTTTCAAGGAGCAAGAACTACCTTGAGAGTGGAGTCAGAAGCTTTACTGAAAGGAAGAGAGCTGGGAGGCATTGGTTCAGATTCAGCGCTTCTCCCTTAATGACTTAGTAGAAAGCCTTGATACCTACTTATGTAATGCACTTGGTTGATATGCATGTCTTAAGGGACATAGTATCTTGTGTGCAGGGGTTGGGTTGGAGTTAGGTTTGAAACAAGTGTCACTGCCTCCCACTCTAGGTGCTTTGGTTCTACTTATACCAGCATCCTTCTCCCAGTATGCCAATACTAAGGAAGAGAAAAGCTATTATAAGGCAATTTGCCTGGCTTTCTGTTTAAAGAATTTGCAGTGGAACACATTGTAATGTGGCTGTTGTTTTCACGATTTTCTGATTTAATTCACATTGCCTGCTTTCTTCTTGCTTGATCTGAAACATCTAGAGAAAAGAACTCTTTGAAGATTTCATGAAGAAAAAGTTGTCATAATAATAGGGCAGAATGACTTCACATAGGCTTTTAAGAGCTGGAATATGCTTCTGCATCCCTTCAGGTTTTTGTGCTATACTTGACATAAAGTACTTTTTATTTCTCGGGATAGGAAAGGTTTGTGGTGCCTTCTTGAATTATTTATCTGTTTTGCATTTTAACAAAATGAAGACAGTTTGGGGAGCAAATCGTATTAAAAAGGTTGCACAGTATGGCCCCGCTGAACACCCAAGGTTCATATTTATTGTATTCTTCATATTTCGTAATTTTGTTTCATTCTGCTCTGAGGTTTTAAATTTGGAATTGGAGAATGAACATACTATTCTCCCTTCTGAAACAAAGTAGCCTAAATTTAAAAGAGAATGAATTTAACCCTTCAATTTTTCTGTGGAAAATACTAGTTTCCTGAATGAGTCTTTTAATTTTATTTGCATCCATGATGCTTCAGCTATTTCCTGCAGCTGAATATATGAAAGAACTGAGGTGGAATTTATGTTTCTGGAAATGAATTGATATTATTTGTGAGTGGAAGTCTGGACTTGAAAGTGAAGAAGAAAATATATAGAAAGTTGGAGAAAGAATTAGGGTTTGTGAATCAGCTGAACTGATTAGTGGGTTAGATGAGCTTCTGTGTAAGGACTAATCCCATAATAACCAAACATGGATCTTATAGAGAGAAGGGCAACACAATACTGTTATATACTTGTCCAAATAAGTGCTTATTTCTACTGTTGTGGCACTGCACATGAATGGAGGTGGTTTTAAATCCTCCCTGCCGCTCCCACATTCCCTTGCATTATTTAATTGCATCTTTATTTTAAAAACTTTCCATTTATGCCAATGGAGGATCTTTCTTTTTCAGCCCACATGTAGTGGGAGAAGTAGCTGGGTGGGAAGCTACTCCAATAGCTCTCTAATAGCTACTTATGGTGCTCCAGATCCGGGCCTTGCACATTTATACTGCAGTAAGAAAGAGAGATCAGCTATATACAACATATTTAATGTAACCTGTTGTTTAGCTCTCATATTCTGAATGTATTACTGCAGGGGATTTTCTTAACTTTGATTATTACAACAATAAATTTTGTACTGGAACAGCCTTTAATATGCACCGATGTTCTCTGTCTTTTAAATTATTTACCTGCTTCATGGAAATCAGCAAACAGAGGAGAAAATGGATTCCCTATACAAAATATATGGATTTCTCAGACAACAGCCATGTTGAATAAGGCTCCAGTCAAAAACGCCTCAGTGTTGGGCCACAGAAGATCCCCCTCTAGCTTCTGGAAGCTCTCTAAAGGCTACTCTGAAGTAGAGCCCATCTTCATATTTTCAGCTTTTCTAGCATCCCTGAAGCTAAATGTTTTCTTAATGAGATTTTATGTTATTCTTGGAACCTTCAGAAATGAGCCCTGTTGAATGCAATCATCCTTACTTTTACTCACTTCGGAATCAGGCTACTTATTTAATCCTGGAGTACCTGCTAGCCCACAATCTTGAGCAAATAGAACGGTTTATACTCCAGATAGGTAGGCTTGATCACTACATGGCTGTACTTTTGTCCTCATAGCTATTTATTAATTACATTTATGAGCTATTGGCATTTCATGCCTCTCTCATCCGTTTTGCTTCCTCTGCATTCACATTACTGGGTGCTTCTTAAACTTGCAAGTCAACCAGCTATATGGCCTTTGACTTGCAAGCCCTCCTGAGATGTAGGAATGCTGGCCCTAAGTGTTTCTCTGATTACACTGTGGGTCGTAGAAACCATTAGGCAGCTGATGGCTTAGATCTAGCAGGGATGCCTTACTAAGGTATATGAGCAAGTTTTATCTTTATTAAACAGCATTTGAATTTATTTAACTTATGTACTTTAACTTTGTACGCTTTCTGACTTTTGTCTGTTTTCTTTTGCTAGGAGCTTGACAGGGAGCTTCCAGTATTAAAACCTTATTTTGTCCAAAACCCTGAACTCGTTGGAAAAACTGGAGCTGGTATACGAGTAACATGGCTTGGACATGCATCAGTAATGGTGGAAATGGATGAACTTACCTTTCTTACTGACCCCGTCTTCAGCCAGCGGGTTTCTCCAGTACAGTTTGCAGGTCCTAAGCGTTTCCGAGGACCTCCATGTACAGTAGATCAACTCCCAAAAATAGATGCTGTAGTGATCAGCCACACCCATTATGACCATTTGGACTATCACACTGTAATTAATTTAAATAGTCGCTTTGGCAGTGACCTGAGATGGTTTGTGCCCCTTGGACTCTTGGACTGGATGCAGAAATGTGGTTGTGAGAATGTAATTGAACTGGACTGGTGGGGGGAAAACTGTGTTCCTGGTCATGATGCAGTTACATTTGTATTTACTCCTGCTCAACACTGGTCCAAAAGGACTGTAACAGATGACAACAAAGTTCTTTGGGGAAGCTGGTCTGTCTTGGGACCCTGGAATAGGTTTTTTTTTGCAGGAGACACTGGCTATTGTGTAGCATTCGAGGAGATTGGGAAGCGATTTGGACCTTTTGATCTTGCAGCTATTCCCATTGGAGCATATGAACCAAGGTATGTGAGCTGATAAGTTGGAGTCTCTGACCCAAAGCTAAGCTAAACTAACCTGTCGTTGTTAGAAAGCACCAATGGTCCTTATAATGATAGCTCAAAATTTAAACACAGAGGCAAGAAGAAACACTAGGTCTTGATAGAAAAGGGGCAGGTGAAGGGTGGCTAGCAGCAGACATTACAGCAAAAACCAAAGTAATTTATGAGAAAACAGGAAATGTATGAAATTTATATTTGAGAGACTTGATTTGAATTATCAGGTAAACAGGGAAGCTGTTCTTAGCAATGTGAAAAAGAACAAAATGGACTACTAAGAACAAACCTTGCATGGAAAATGGCAGTAAAGGGAAATAGGTTTGCTTGTGTGCTTCTACCAGCTACAGTGCAATAGGCAAGGAAAAATGTTTATTTCTGTTTGCTAGGTGGTTTATGAAATACCAGCATGTGGACCCTGAAGAAGCTGTGAGGATTCATATTGATGTACAAACAAAGAAGTCTTTAGCAATTCACTGGGGGACCTTTGCTTTAGCAAATGAGGTAAGTGTGAACTGTTTACTAGTGTGACTATGGTTGTTCCATTCAGAGTGGTAATGTCAACAACAGTGTGTTCCCATCTTTTATAACAGGCTTTCATCTGTTACAAAATAGAAAGCACTCTTCCTACACCCTACATATAAGAATTATTTAAGCATTCAGGAGTCCATTTCCTGTAAGTCCCTGGTCAGTGCCTCTTGACTGGAAGGAAGGCAGCCTGAGACAGTAACTCGGGCAGCTATTTCTGAGGGCTGATCATTCTTCTGCATCAGATGTGATTAGATCATTTAACCACACCTGATGTAGAGGTGCAGCAGAATTACCTGTTCCTGGTGGGGGCCAACTAGAAGGAAGCAAGGGCAGAATAATGGCCTTGGCAAGTTGGTAATTTGAACTCAGGTTCACTTATTATGCTACACTACTCAGGCCAGACACATACTTGGTGCATTACTGGACTAAGAGCTGCAATTTTCAAGCCATCTTGCATCACTTAATAGGAACTGGCTTGAGATCTGTGTAATGTGAAAAGGACTGCTGATTTTAAGTGCACCTGAAGAAACTAGGGTGTACATAGTTTGTCCTCTTTAGGGAGATCATATATAGCTAATTGCCTTTCATCAAAATTATGTTTTTCAAAGTAGATTTACTTTGCCTTGAAATTTTACCAGGCAGCTTCCCTAGTTGAAGACAACCTCCTAAACAAGAAAGCATTCTGTCTCGGCACTCATGCACACATCCCTGCAGCTTTCTGCCATGACCAGCATGACCAAGTAACAAGCCAACAACTAAGGATGTGGCTTTGCAGATAAAGGAATGGAACCTATTCATTTAGGAATAGGATCTGTTCCTGATGGTTAAGGTTGCCAAGGCAAAGAGGAACATGTTTAGTAAAGCATTTCTCTTTAATTCTGTTTAAATGAATAGCTGCTGCTCGCTCCTATGTGGAACAGGAAAGGGATGTGGCAGTGATCTGCACTCCACTGTCTTTCTAATAAACAGCCTTTCTAAACACATTTACATGCACACATCCTGCCTGCTGTAATGACAGCTATTATACTAATTAAATTTATAACATAGTTCAGAAATTTTACTTCAGCCTGGCTTTAACAGTGCAGATATGGAAACATAAATTACCTGTGTGTGAAACCCTTCCATTTTAAATAGGTCCTTAAGAAGGACTGTGTAACCCACAAACCGTTCCCCATTCCCTTTCCACATGATTTTCTCAACAGAGATTCAGAATACAAATTTATTTAATATAGTTTTATCCCACCTTTTAGATGGACCACAAAAGAGGATGTGTGTCTGTCTTCCAGTGTCTGAGTGCCAGGACTATGAATCCTGGAGAAATTGGTGGTGCATACTAAGAGAAACTCTGGAGCTGTACAACTCAGGACAATTTGGTTTTTAGTACACATTCACCAATCTAAAGGTGTCTTTTTAGTTGAACCTGCAGGAACATCTTCAGCCACTAGGGGAAGACTTCCCTAACCAGCACATTGCTTTGCTGTGAGTAGAGTTATAAGCCATGGGAGAGTACTAGGCTGAGGGGCGGTGTTGTATGTTTGCCCCTACCTGTTGCTGTGGGGCAGCATCCCCCAGGAAATGGAGTGGACAGATCCCTCCCTCAGGGGACTTTATGGGTGCATTATGGTAAAGATTGTGCCTGGGGTGCTGGCAGGCATGCTTTCATTTGCACAGGTTGGTGCAGTGTTTCTAAATGTAAGCAACAACTGTGTAAGACTGCGTGAAGGCTTTGCTGTATCAAGTGAAGGTCTATTCTAGCTCATGGGAAGTTATAACTGTTTGCTAGGAACAATAAAATAAAAATAAGAATCATCTTGGTAATCACACAGTCACAATGAGATTCAGTGGCAGCAGCCAGCAAATAACATTAAAATAGCATTCAGACCAAAACCCATGAAGTCAGAAAATCTAGCAACAGCACAAGGATAGTAATCCAAAGAAAATCCTTTGTTGGAAGGATGGGTCATGGTTTGTTGAAAGGATAAACCCTCACCTAACCCCAAACAGGCCATGGATTATTTGGAGTTGTCTGGCCCTCTAACAAACATGCCTGCTGAGTTCAGATAACACAGGCGGTGCTTGGGCAGGTAATTAGGCAAACAGCATTATGCAAGTACCAGAATAAATTAAGCCACAGTGCCTCACTTATTCTCAGCGATCATGAGAACCAGGCCTGTCACTGAGCAATGGCCATTCCACTGTCAAATATCTATTGAGACTGGCTGTTCAACTTAGGGGAAAACAAGGAAAGTTGGCTGCACTTTACAAAAATGTCTTTTGTTGAAAAAAGTTATGGTCAAAACATTGGATGAGTGCAGTATTTCCATGTTGTTTCACACAGGCAAGAACCAAGTAGATTTCTATGTATAAACAGCTGCTCCCACTCCTGGGTGTCTCAGGGTTAGACACATGAAAGGCTCTTTGTGTCTGCAGAAAACTGCTGGTTGAAAGGCAGTGGGCAATCTTCACATAACTGTTGCTTTCAAGTACCAGCTTGAGGCCTGCCTCTTTCTTTGTTCTTTTAGTTCTTTGGTGCTGCCCTTCTCTTTCTACATGGCTACTAAGTCTTGTTCCTTGGCTTGCCCCACCTTCACACTTGCAGAAAAATTTGCTCCAGGGAGAAAGTTATACTAAAGCCTGTAGCCAGAATTTCCCTCTATACTGGAAGAGCAAAATACTCAGTGTTTAATGTGAAGCTTCCCAATAGCTTAAAATATGACTTCTCAAATATTTGATATGAATTGATTTTTCCACAGTACTACCTGGATCCTCCAGTTAAATTGAAAGAAGCTCTTGACAGATACGGATTAAAAACAGAAGATTTCTTTGTCTTAAAGCATGGAGAATCACGAGACATAAATATAAATGATGATGGATTTGAAGAAAAATCCAGTTTCTTATGAACGATATCTGAAAAAAATTAAGATGGATCCATTTTTGTAAATTTTTAAACAGGATTTTAAAAGATTTCAGGTGTGCTTGTTTAATAACCAAACAACCTCTAACCCCTTGCATACCAGCCTAATAAAATCACAAGTTTTTAACAAATAAATGAAATAGCAACTCCGGATGGTGTTAACCTAGTTATTAAGTCCTGTAAATAAGCAGTTAAAATTAATGATTTTACCTTTTTAAATGTTAATTTGTTGTGCAGCATTACCAGTACTGGTCAGCTGCTGGGAATTAACTACTTAGGCAACTGTCCAGAAGACGTAACAAGGCATGTGCATTCAGTGGTTCTTAGCACAGCTGTTCCCAGCATTGAACTACTAAGTGTTTTAAGCCTCTCTTCTTCCAATTTACAAAGTGGCTTTCTAGTTCAACGCTGGAAAACAAGGTGAATGTAGATTAGGTGCATGTACAGGTGGAGACTGCCAGAGGAAGTGATTCATTTATAGCATTTGGTTTCTGCATGAATTTAGCCCCAAGCATGCTGTACCTAATGTACAAAATATACAGCAGCAGCAGCCTGGGTTGCAGGTGCAGATGGGTGTGAGTGTCAGTGCAAAGAGCCATATGTGTATTAGCCTACCACATACATTGCAGTGTGTAAGGAATCCTTTCATACCTGATGTCTGAGTGCACAACCATCATCCTCTTCCAGTTTAACAGGATCATAGAGGAATATATCCTTTTTACTGTAAGCCGCCTAGCGAATCCTTCTGGATTAGTGGGCAGCATACAAATTAAAAAATAAATATCCATGAATGCAGGGGCATTGGAATGGCTTTTCACTTCTAATGAAAACTATGGTGCCTTGTATTCATAGCTGGATAGCAGCCTTGTATATGTATGAAAGCATTTCCTTGGAAATAAGTTGCACTGAAAGCTGAGATATTTTAGTGATGGAGCTTAGGATCACAACACCTTTCATTTAGGATATAGCATCCTGTAATACATGCCCACAGTCCAGTCCTGTGCATATTTACTCAAACATGAAGCCTACATTGATAGAATGTATGGTCTTGTAAGTATGGCTAGGATTGCATACTTCACTTTACAAAACACAGGTTACCATGGCTTGGCTGGTTTTTATATAAAGCTGTAATGTAAGAGCCACTCAATGTTAAATAGTCCAATTAGAGGCAATGATGTTACACTAAAATGACAGAAATGATTTGAGTTTTACAGCCAGTAGAATGTTCATCCTAAAGTGAATAAAATGCTTTGAACTTTTCAGCCTTAGTGTAAAATAGTCCCCAGTCTATTATCTCCTTTGAGCAGAAAATTCACCCAGAGGGTGGCTCTGTGCCTTCACATCTGTTGAAAAGATAGGATTGTTGAGATGGAGTCTTCCAACACAATTGTTGCTAAAGCACATTTTAAAGAAATACTGATTTTACTTAATGCTTGTACTTTTTCATTGGCAGATATAAAATTCATGTTTTCAAATCTAATGAAATGTGCCTTTTAGAGTTCTAATGACTAAAAACTGACTATTTTATTGCTGGCTAGAACGCTGTAGACTTGCATTGTACCATCACTGTGAAACTGCTCTTTATCATAGGCCTGAATACTTCAATTGTTTGAAAACTTGATTGGCAAGTACTTTGTGTGATTAAAACCACCAGTTGGTTGTTCTCTGAAATCTTTATTCAGCTTATTTTGTTTCTGTTCCCTTTCCCCTGCCAATGGTGAGGTCTAAACAAATTGTTTCAGCAGAATTATGTGGAAAAACATGTAGCGACTGCTTATAGAACTGAAAGCATGATATATAATAAATTTGTAAAAAATGGCCAAATGTACCTGTGTCAAACTGCAAAAAATAAAGAGTTCTCACTCAGAAGCATTCTATTACTTAGTCATTTCATTGTATGATGCTTTGACAGCTATGTATGTAAGGATAACTGATCTCTTGTTCCAAATCCATTTCACTTTTAATTGCACAAATAAATTGTTGCTTCTCTAGCTGCCTGCAGCATTCCTTTATGTAACCAATTGTATTGCAAGTATGTTACTGTTTGTAGTTTTGCTTCATTAATGTCCTTGACTAGAGACTTCCCTTTCCCCACTGTTTAATGCTGGTATAGCAGCCCTACTATATTTCATTCTAAATACTACACTATTTTTGTGATTTCATGAAGTATTACTTTAAAAATTGCTCTACATTCCCTTTAGTTGTGAATCTGAGCTACAAATTTTCACATAGTGGCAACATCAAGTGATGGTGTGGGAAGCCTTGAACTTTACAGCAGCTTACTTTTAGTGAAGGTTGTTTACAGTTAAGCGACTGGAATGACAAATACCTGTTCGTGTGGAGTAAGACATCTGTGGTAACGAACAAACCACAGTTGGAAATTTTGTGAGGCTATAATCTCTTCTTTCTAGAGGGTTTGTGCTGAGCAATTGGTAAATATTTAGTAATACTGTAATCTGATCATTTCCTATAATCCAGCCTTAACACTTGTTATATCACTAGGTATGTGCTTGATGCAAGCATAGAAAACAACCATGTCACCACATAAGTCATGAGATGAGATGCTTGCAGTAGTACAGTAACTAGTACTAAAGTTAATGTTGCACCCCAAAAGCTTGCAATGCACAAGCTGTTCTCTATTCACTTTCAACAAGGGTACCGTCACACCTGTATGGAACTTCCTGCTCTATTAAGTTTAAGGTAGAGGCCCAGGTCTGCGCAAATCTAGACTAGGTCAAAATATTGTAGGATCACATTCTTTCAACACTAACAATTATATATCAAATTCCATTTCAGAAAGGTTCAAGTAAGGGTTCTGAGAAAATGCAGGTAAAGTATTTCTACAGGCAAAACTAGCGCTGCACTTTCCAAAAATGGTGTTCAATAACATACTGGAATTGTATAGCTCTAAAGCAGAGGAGAGCAACCTGTGGCCTTCCATAAATTGTCAGACTCTTAGCCTTTTCATCCCAGACTATTGGCTTTCCTGGATTGGACTAATGGGAACAGAAAGCCAAAACAACATTCAGAGGGCTACAGATTACCCTCCCCCCACACACACACGAACGCGCACACTTGATATAAAGCTCATACCAAGTTTTTTCCAGTGTGCACACCATTCTTTTCATGTTGGTGTCCTTTTGTATATGCAAAAAGGAATGCATGGTTTTGCTGCTGCTGTCTCTTCCATTAAAACAGGAAAATCTTTAAGTGCAGAGAAGGCCCATGTGTATATAAAGTCTTGCAAATACATAAGCCACTGCTAGCAGCAACTGAAGTCTTATGCATACTTCATACAGAGCTCAGGAGCCTACAGACAATTTCACTTATACAATCTTAGATTTTAGCACTGTTGCATTATTAGTTCTGCAACTTGTTCTTTGACTTCCGGGTCTTGATGGAGCAATAAAAATGCCAGTTTTTGAACATACATTGTAGAACTCCCCCAGAGAACAGAAAAAATTGAATCTTCACTGTATTTATGTGGGACTGTAGTACGCTTATCCTTTTTCATATGCTTTGTCAAGTTTGTGGCAAAGATCAGGACTCTGAGCAAAACATCTTTGTCTATGCAGCTATCAAACAAGGATAATAAGAAAGGTGCCTGCAAAATTAAAATACACAAGAAATTACCAGTTATTAAAATGTACTTATTACAAAATCCATGCTGAATCACTTCTAGCAAAGTACAGTTTTAAAGGTGTGAAGAGCTGGAGTAGGCAATCATTTGGGGCCTTGGGCATCTTTGGCAAATCCAAGGGTTTCCAAACCTTTGAATGGAACACTTCCATGTCAGTTCAAACTCACAATACAGTGGTACCTTGGCTCACAAACTTAATCCGTTCCATGACTCTGGTCGCAACCCAAATTAGTCATGAGCCAAGTCAAATTTTCCCATAAGGTTCAATGTAAATAAGGTTAATCAGTTCTGTAAATATTTTTTATCACAAAAATTTGAAACAAAGCAATAAAGAACAACAAAGTAACAAAATATAGTACAGTAGAGAACACTAACCTAGGTGGGGGAGTATTGTTTGGAGGGAGAGTCCAAACCGTAATCATGCAATAGCAAACGTGCTGGGGGGGGGGGGGGGAGATGGCTGCGATGGTGATTGCGCTCGTGCAGGGAAGATGGGCATGATTGCGATCATGTTTGTGCAACAACATGGCCACGATCATGGTTGTCACCCAATGCGGAGTTCGCAAACTGAGGCAAAATTTTTCTAAAATTTTTGTTCGCAACCTGATTTGGTTGTGAACTAAGGCGTTTGTGAGCCAAGGTACCATTGTACTAGCTTCACTTTAGTATTTTGAGTCATCTAATGCACAGATGGCTTTTAAAACTGGAAAGTATAATGGTAAACCTATACTTGCTATTTAGCACCAATTATAAGCCCAGGAAATGATATATTTCTCTGCAATGCAGACAGAACATTATTTGTAGTAATAACACCGGAGCGGTGGCGGATGTATTTCTGCCTTAACACTTGTTTACTAGTATAGGACATGATGGTTCATGTTCACATGTCATATAATTGCAAATCATTCAGTTTCCTTTGATGTTTTCCCGTGGGGCAACTCCTATTCCTACAATTTATTATTTATAGATACAGGAAGCAAAGTATTACCAGTGAATCTTTTAGCATTCAACATCTTCAGTGCATAAAGTTTCATGCACATTTTGGATAGCCTGAATTTGGTAACTGATGTTGTGTCCCAAAATTATTTGAATGCACAGTAATTTGAAAATGTCTACACAATTTCATTATTGAGGAAATAGAACGTCTTGCATCTGTACATATGCTATGTTCATGGACTCTGGCAATTTTTAACTAGCCTTTGAATGTCTCTTGATTAGTCCTCATATTTTGAGAATCACATTTCTTAGGCAAGCTCCAGCTACTATGTTAGAACATGCAGAGTGATAGTGGTGTAACTCTATTGTAGCAAAAACAACACAGAGAACTAAAACACCTTTGCAGTCCACGAAAAACCTATGCCAGGACCAATTTGTCAAATGTGCGACAGGATCCTTTCTTTGTTTCTACTATTTTAGAATAGTTCTTATCACTAATTTTGCTGCTTCAGCTTTTTTTTTAAATTAAAGTCTATTAAAACAAAAATCTTCTGAAAAAATAGCTTTACCTGAGCATTAAGAAGATGTTCTGTTATATCTGGGTTTGCTGATAAATTCACAAGCACTTTTAGAACCTGAACCTGTAATAAAGGAATAATTTATCCATCTATGGAATGAAACAACAAACATGGTATTTAAATCCTGACTTTTAATAAAATGTATAAAGATAACTAATAAAAAGTTAGGAAAAATGAAATATATATTTTCTAAATGTATATCTCAGGTTTTCCTGATTGTTCATGGTGATAGATAATAAAATACGAAAACAATGGGTTATGTCCAGATATGCACAGATTAGGACTTCAGTTTAGAAACACTTCTAACATTGGAAGTGATTTGGGCTAATTCTTCCTGCAGTCCCCAAACCCCTCTGGAGGACTGGGGGCCCTTCAGAATATGCTGGGAGATAGCACTGGGCGGTACAGGGCAAATGAGATTCAGCAAAAATTGCTTCTTGCAATTTTCCCTTGGCAGGCATGGTGAGCTACCACTGAATTTGACTCACTTGTGCAAATGGAAGGAGCTCTTCCATTTCTGATAAATGAAGTCTGGATCCAAGCTAAAAAAAAATTCAACTAGAATAAAACAAGGAAACAACCTCAGTCCACTTTCTAGTGGGATTTTCCCTTGCTGTGAAGTTTGAACTCAACAGGACTTACTTCTCCGTAAACACACACAGGATATGTTATCTAGATTCTTTTGCACTTGGCACCAATGTAAGTGAATCAGAACTGCAATGCAGCAGGAGTGTCAGCATTCTTGGTCTTCTTGGACCCTGCCTGTTTTCTGCCCATTCTTATCCTGAAATTTAAAGCCATTTCCCAGAAGTATAGATTCCCTTGCATTCGCAGGGAATTGTGCTTCCTTCTAACACTTAATGGGAAGGGGGCAGGTGACTATAATCTAAAAGAGCTAGCGTAATCTATTCACTGTTTTATAAGGGTCAAAACAAACTCCTGTTTGTTACATCACAAACATGGTAAAGCTGTCTTCTAGAGACAGAGTAATGAAGTGCCATCTTGTGGTATGGATGCATTACTACACTGAAGTGGAATATTGGGAGGCCATGGATTATTCTTTTCCTGTGAATGATGCTCTAGTGCAAACCACTTGCTTAATTAGTGCTGATTAAGATTTTCTTTGAGTTGGTGGGTGGCCCTGAAGATCAGGAAAGCCAAATGAGCTTATCCCCTTCTACTTTTTAAAGTGTACTTCATGGTGAAAAAAGAAAACCTGTAAGAAAATATTTCCCACACTGTTCAGTTACCTTTTTTGCAACGTACATTTTCAAAGCAATTTAGACAAAAACACATATCTAAACTTTAAGAATTTTGTCAGTAACAATGATTTTCCTTTTTCTAATGCATGAAAGAACAGTAAGATACCATACCTGTGTTCTTTCATTTCCTTCCAATAGCAAATGAAGAAAGCATGGTATAGAGCTAGTCATTATATAATGATATTCATTGGTAACAGACATATTGGTCAGAAACCGAAGTCCAGCCAACTGCACTTCAGAGTTCAATAGAGATGACTCAGTTTCTGCACAGACGTGGGTAATATATATCTTAGGAAAAGAAAGCAAAACATAACGAATTATTTCCAGCGAGAAACAAGATGTTACTGTGAAGACAAGGAGACCAGCATCCCAATGGTAACTCTAAGGCAGACATCCAGCCTACATTGGGGGCAACAGTGCTTCCCATGATGTACAGTTTAGGCAGCTAGGAGCAGGAGACCTGCCAGGCAAGATGCTGGTCTCTGGCTGGTCAGCATCAGCTCATCTCCCCTCCTGATCTTCTATTAACTTAAAGCTAGTAATAAGCCTTGAAGAGGCTAAGCTACATAGAGGAGAGAGACAATTCAGTTCAGCCCAAGTTTCAAAATAAATCATCTTTTTAAAAGAAGAACATGGAATACCAAATCAAATCAAATCACTAAGTTTGCACAAAAAAACCAAAACAGGTTATCGGTCTATCAAAATTTATACTGAGTAGGATTCATGTAACAAATGCGTAGATGAGGCAAGGTCACTTTGATATACCTTCTTAGCATGATTAGGGAGTGATAACCTCTGGAGGATATGTCCAGTGCTCAATGTCATTTAATCAGGTGGGTCATGAATGACAAATAGGTGGCTAATATCCAATGGGGAGGGCTGCCTGCAGCTACATGCACACTGGCAAATAAGAAATCGGCACCAGGGTATACTTTGAAAAAGTAAGAACTGTCAAGGATGCAGCCAATCTTTTCCATTCAGACAGCCTTATGAATGTAAAGAAGTCATGGTGGAATACAAATTTAGGAGTTTCATAATATTGCTTCTCGTTTTCCAACCAAATATGAGATTCTTAAAGCGAAGTAGTTTGTGCACAGGTCTGCTTTACAGTTGCATTGTTTAAATCCTTAATATTCAACTACTAAAACCAAACAAGCGAAGGTAGCCCAACCAAATTAGATAGATTTGATTTAGTTTTAACATGAGATATAATGTATGCTATTATTTTAAAAGTGGCAAAATCACTTCTCAAGCTCAGGTACCTTTAGTTAGCATATTCTAAACATATAGTCAGAACCTTTCTTCTCAGCAAAAGTTTCACCCACTGCTTTACATCCCATAATGCCAATTTCAGAACCCAGTAAAATACAGAACTGCCTTATTGAAATCTGAGTGCCACCACTAAATCCAGATACCATTGTATTTACTTGCAACACTATCATATTTTTGCTGGAACTCTATTTAGTATACTATATATTAATCTGGATTTGAATCAAAAGTAGTAGGCCATCCCCCTTTTCCACTCAAGGTCCTTCATTTGTCATCAGAGGCCCTCACCTACACTTAGATGAGCAGTGACCAGAGATAGCCTCTTTGTCATGTCAGGGCAACTTATCAGGCACCATGCTGGTTATCTATCTGGTTCAGAGCCGAAATCTTTTTGTTTACCATGGCCCTCTAGTTAGTCATTGAGCTGGCTTTAACATACTGACATTTTACTTTTACTAATGGCCTTGGGGATTTAAAAAAATATTTTTCACTTTCTGTTGAGTTCTGTCCCAGCAGTTTGAAACTGAATAGCATACATAATGTTATCTGTAATAAATAATAGTATTTACCTCATCAGTATTTAAGGAGTAAGTCAACATCACATTGAATTCAACAGGAAAACTTCAACTGATTTTGATATAAATGAGATTGCAGTTGAAGTATCTCATTGACTACATTTTTTATTCACAAAGTTAGTTACCAAGTTATTTTAAACTTACCTTTAGCTCTTCTTGATTTTTGGTATTCATGCTCAAGTTATTAAGAGCATTCAGTGCTTTCTCTTTAACATTAGTGACAGGAACTGAAAGTATTTTCCCAATAACAGAGAGGCCACCTAATTTTCGAATGATATCCTACAAGCAAATAGAGAAAATATGCCATATCTTAATTCCTAGAGTCAAGCAACTGGAAACTGGAGTTTCTAAACTGGAATGTAAATTCAGCCCAAATCAATAGAAAATATATGTAAACAAGTGAATAAAGAGCTGATTTCTGAGAATAACTATTCATAAGTTTCATTAGTCTACCAAAAATGATCAAAGAAAACACCCTATCTCTTCTGCCCATCAACCCAACAGAACTTACTGGCAGGCATGTGAGGAGCAAGGACACTGTGGCTAGTCATAGGGTCTATCCATGAGGTTGTTCAAACAATCGGGCTCCAAGCCATGCAGGACTTTTAAAGATGATCACCAGCTCTTTAAAATTGAACCCAGAAATGTATTGGCAACTATCATATTGACAGACTAGATCATCTCCCAATTCCAAGCAAGAGACAAAGGCCTTGGTAGAATTGCTGGCTAAAAGTAGATGATGGTTTTCAAAAGATCTTAAGAAAACATCCAAATTTATCAGCCTGCAGACATGGATAATTCAAATTGTTCTACCACACTTGCAAGGCTAAGAGCATCTAACAGTCTGGATTTGATCTGGTAATGATTTGTCTATGACAGTCGAGCTATTTTGAGTTTTCCCATGGATGCACATTGTTCCCTAAGGCAATACAAGGAATGAAGTGCAATGTATATCCTGCCACATGTCTTGGGTTAGATTTTGATAGACGCTTCATTGTCACAGTGGCAATGAAATATCAGGCTGCCAAGGCAAATGGGTGGACCTGTACTTTGGACAAGAAACTAATGTTAGGACAGAACACAAAAAAATTATTTCCTACAGGGAAAGGCATCAGTCAAGAGTGTATTTCATTTTCCTATTTGTTTAATCTGTACAATGAACATAATACAAGGAAAGCTGGATTAGGAACAGAGGAAGAAAAGTGAAAATAGGCAGAAAATACATCAATGTTAAGATATGCAAGTACCATATCACTTGCAGAAGGAGGCAATGAATTGAAATGACTTCTGATGAAAGTGTCAGAAGAGATGACAAGAGCTAGACATTAAAAAAGCAAAAATTAGTACAGAAAAAATCACACAACTTTAAATTACCCAACAATGAAGAAATTGAAATAATGAAATGTTTTTCATACCTTGGCTGAGTCACCAATTCAAATGGGGACTGCAGCCAAGAAATGAGAAGAAGGCTGAGACATGGAAGGGTAGCAACGAAGGAACTAGAAAAGATCATTGAGTGTAAGGGCAAAGGCTAATATCACCCATGCTATTGTGCTCCTTATCACTATGTATAGGTATGAAAGCTGGACAGTGAAGAAAGCAGACAGGAAGAAAATCGATGTTTGAAACTTGGTGTTAGAGAAGAGTTTGGCAAATACCCTGGACTGAGAGAAAGATGAACAAGTGGATCCTAGATCAAAACCAAGACAGTTTTCCCGAGAAGCAAAAATAACAAAGCTGAGCCTGTCATACTTTGGGCATATCATGAGAAGGCAAAACTCACTGGAAAAGGCAATCGTGTTAGGGAAAGTTAAAGGTAGAAGACAAAGTCAATCTATGAAATTAATTGATTCTATTAGGAAATCTTTAGTTTACAAGAGCTGAGCAGGACTGTCAAGGTAATTTTGGAGAGCACTCATTCATAGTGTCACTTAAATCTGAGCTGACCCAACAACAAGTTACAACAACAAACACAGGTGGCCTTGGCAAGTATGTTAATGTTCCTCGAGACCACAAGCCTTGGAATCTTCAACCTGTTGCCATGGTTCTGCTTAGGAATGTAACATTATAGCTGCAGAAATTGTGTGAATACTATTCCTGGCATAAAGCAATGCTTAGCTTAGAATTATAACATAAGTCAAGTTAGTACTTTTCTAACATATGCATAATAAGATTTATTTTAGTTTGAAGATTTATACCACATCTTTTGATCAAATGTTCTTTATCTCAAAAATGTCACATCTGTTTTTTATTATTACATTATCTTTTTGTCTTTAATAGTTCTATTTTCTGCTTGCCACTAAGAAAGAAACATACTTACTTACTTACTTGATTTACAGAGAAGGCAGCACAGTTGCTCAGTGTAACCAAGACTTGTTCCTGAACTGAAGGATCCTCTGTAGACTCAAGTAAATGAAGAAGATTTTCTATGTGTTGTATCTCCAGACCCTGGGGTGATTTTTGAAAATCCATGCCTAATTTTAGAAACACACACCACCTAATGTTAAGTTTTTTTCTACAGCAATAATTTAACTGAGAAAGGATGGGAATGGAGAATACAGAATGGACAACTAAATTAGCAACTGTTTCTATATTCCCTAACTGAAAGGCTGCCTAAGTATACAGTGATTAAGATGTGTTTCAATATGAATGCCTGGGGTCCTCAAACTACAGCCCGTGGGCTGGATCCAGCCCGCCATGCCCATTTTTCCGGCCCGCCTCAGAGGTTTTGGACTTGCTTGGAGAATACGATGTCCAAGCAAGCAAACCACTGCACCCACCACCCTTGCCCTCTTGCTGGCCCGTGCCTGGCACTGCCTTGGTGGCCCGCGCCCACCACTGGCACCTTTCAACTGGCCCCCTGTTGAAAAAGTTTGAGGACCTCTGGCATAAGCTATAAGCTGTTTTATAAGACATCTTAAACATTATTTTAGTGGAAAGATGGATGTAGCTCTAATATAGATAAAATGAAATAAGTTATATATTTAATAAATAGCTAATTAAATAGTCATAACTAGTCAAATAGTCATTTCCTGAACTACTACAGCCTAATGCTATAAAGTTGGATATGGGAAATTATAGTAAAATTAGGAAGGAAAACGGGTATTTTGTGAGCTCTGCTGAGAAACCAGCCCCATTTGGCTGCTCTCTCCATCATACTAAAGTCCTATTTTATAGATTTGTATGAAGCAGAATGAAGTAATTAATGTTATCCACCCTGGCCCTGAGGACTGGTATTCTGAACCAGTCATCCCCACTGCATGTTTTACATTTCATTTCAGGACATGTATTTATGCTTCCTCCTCTCAGGACTATAGGCTTGGGAGTCTTTTCTGTAATTACACTTTGTTCATCCAATTTTGTCCAGGCCACATTTAAAAAGGGAGAGTGGAAAGGCATCTTTGAAACAGGGCTGTGACTTATCTGGAGTTATGCAAGCTATAAATCAGCATCTCTAATGTATTAGCAATGTATAGTTAGTGGGTTTTTGACCAAAAGTAGGTAAAATATTACAATGAAAGCGTATCTAGGGAAAGAGACAGGTCAGAGTAATGGTCAGAAAAGGGGCCATGAAGAGCCGCTGATCAGACATGGGAAAGCTTTGATCTCTTTAATTAGGTATAATGTGTTATACAATGAACAACCCAAAAATGGAGGGCCAATCATAGTGTAACACAGGGTAAAGTATGCACTACATCATCTCCTTCTGTTATTTTCAGTTCAATAGCAGACTATGCCAAACAGCCCATTAGTGATGGGACAGACCCTACAGATAAAATTATATAAACATTCATATAGATAATGCTAGAATTCTAGTTCTGTTTTCAGGCATTTAATGGTATATGAAGGGCTCTTTAATGCATCTGTTAAATTGTTTAAGGTTGTCAGTGAAGTTTTAGTGGTTTTATGGCATAGGAAGGAAGATAAACACATCATGAATCTTAGAAATAGTAGTGATAATGAATACAAATAATAATTCTGGCAACTGAACAAGGTGCTATGAACTTATTACTCCAGATTTTATTAGTCTGATAAAAATCACTTAGACCTATCACCGGAGAGCTGTAGCTACTCCAACAAATTAGGAAATATAGCTATGGAAACCCCTGGAAATCATAAAAATATATATTCTGATAAAGTGTGTCTATAAAGTAACCTAGCTACTCCAGTAATTCTAAATGTCAAGTTTAGAATCACTTTCTCCAACAGCATTCTCAGGGGTGAATGCCAACATAATAAAGAATGAATGGAGCCCTTGAGAAACAAGAGGGCAGCATCAGTGTACATTAAAGATCCTGGTACTTGGAAATGCACTCACACAAGTATTTTAAAAAGTATGGATTCAAAAACAAAAACAAAATAAACAGGAACAGCCCAATGAAGACAGAACCTACTTAGTAGCCATGACTGTTGAATGAATTGGAACAGAAATACTGAAAAAAAGTGGGACAAAGTTGAATGCCTGTCCTGAGCCCCTAGCAGCTGACAAATATCTGGATGAAAACATCATTGGAAATCTAATTATTCTGGGATGAAAACATCGTTGGAAATCCGGGCCATAATGTTGTGCCACTTCAGGTGAAAGATAAGATAGTGTCCCCAGTCCTATGTACAGAATCTGATCTGATCAGCTGGTTCTATCACACCTGATGGCAGAGGTCAAGGGATAGGCTGTGTGACACATATGGCTCTGTCCCACAATACCTCACTATTGCTCCCACCCCCATACCACAGTATGCCAAATAGTAGGGTTGGCCCTGCCTGAACGAGAGCAGCTCCTATTATGTACTATAGTGCAACACTACATACTATTATTACATTTCTATACTGCCTATAGCCAAAGCTCTCTGGGCAATTCACAATATTTAAGACACTCATCCAGAGCTCAACCAGCCCTGACCCTGTTTATTTTCCAAGATTAGGCAGGATCAGACACTTCGGGCTATATGGAATGCATATATATTATTATGTATAATGCGTGTGTATGTGTGTTATAAAATATATTAATAAATATATTAAATACATATGCATTTTGTTGAATTCAGGTGGTTGTGTGCCTATCAAATTAGAAGCAAAATGGAGTCATCCTTTTAAAAAAGGTGGTTTAAAAAATACTAGGGATGAGTGTGGGGTCTTCCCGCCAAATTTCTAAGGCAGGAACACCACTGAATATTAACAGTGCCCCTTACCAGCATCCAATATTCCAGATGAGGGCATGGCTGGCTGGAAATGGGGATATATTTTGTTTCAGGTCCCAAGATTTGTGTATTGACTGGAAAATACATTTTAAAGAGAAGCAATGCTTCCGGTTTTTCTTTGACTGACCGACGTCTTACCTTGCTGAAGGCTGCCAGAACCTTTCTGGACAGTGCTAGAAATCACGGAAATGCCAGAAACTCGTTGCAATAAACTGCTCTCTGGGGTGGCCACCGCGTGCTCCCCGCAGGAGAATGGCCCTGTTTGACGTTCCTGCGGAATAGTTTCCCCTTCTGTCCCGGCTGCTTCTTGTTTTTTTCTTTTTCTGGAGATCACTCGGTAAACACAATAGCAGACGCTCGCCCCTACCACTAGGCCCACCAACCCTTTTCTCAGCACAGCGCCCCCGGAGTCCCTCATGGTAGACAGAAAAGGCTGACGCCGCACCCAGTATCCAGAATGAAATCCGGCACTTGCCTCAGTCATAAACGGAGGAGCCGTGCAATAACGCTCCTTTCCGGCGGGAAGCGAGGCCTTCGGTTCCTCCTCTCTGCGCCCTGGAAGAACTACGAGCGCGGGGAAAGAGCTAAAGCTCCGCCTTCGTCCATAAGGGGTCGCGCCGCAGCGAATGTTTCCAGCCCCCAGGACGCAACGCACGTTACAGACGCCTCTTCTTTCATGCATGTCGCGTCCCAACTCGTTTTAAAAAGCAGAGTTCATTTATACCTGTGCTTTCCCTCTTCAGCCTTGGTGGTGGGGAGACACAGAGCATCACTCAAAGCAAGGAGACAGGCAATATCAGCGTAAATGCTTTATTATTGTTATTTTTTTAAGGAATTTTATCACGCCGTGATAAAGGCTTCCAGAGCGGCTAACAAAAGATTGCTCAGTAAAAGACAGGACTCGTCGTTGCCCTTCTAGGTTTACATTCTGAAAGACAAGGCATAAGAGCAGAAGCCACGAGGGAAAATGAAAAGCAAACGCAAGTACCAGGTTTTAAAACCAAATTAAAGCAGGGCCAGGTAAAATTAAAACGAAAGGTTGCACTCAGTGGGACTCTAATGTAAGTATTATTCATTGCAATGGGTGCACTCTAAGTGGTACTCTAAACCCCACAGGTTTGAATATGCACCTAAATATTTATATTTTTACTAGCAATTAGAGTTGCCAGTTTGAGTTTTAGCTCTTCAGCTTTAATCAGCTGTTTGACAGGTGTAAACAAAACTGTGCACCAGTACTGGACACTGTTCATAAATTTTCAGAGTGCGTTCTGTACAAATCACCCACAATGCACACATATCAGTAGAGAGTGTACGGTACCAGCAAAGTATCATCCAGGTTATGTCATCACCAGTTTCCAAATGCTGTTGTTCTAAGACTGCAAAAAGACCAAAGAGAATGTGCCCTTTAAAAAAAAAAGAATGCCACTATCAATGACAGGTTTTACAGTCACTTGAGAACAATATTTTGAGTATGAAACCCTTGCAATATTATGCTATGAATCCACTGTGTCAGAACCCATCCTCAACTGATAGTCTAGAATCCCCAACTTCCAAGTGAGCCAAGCAAACAATATTCACTATCCACACTAACCTTTCAAACATGAAGCATTACAGGCTCTCTATGGAAGGCAGAAGGAACATAGTGATGGAGGTTGTTTCTGTACTCCTCCCAATCTCCAAAATACTTAGCCAATGTTGTCTGTCTAAGTGTTTTGCTCAGGACTGTATCTCCTTACCAATGGCAGGAATGAACACTCAGATCCATAGGGAAGATTTAAATCACCTTGAACCGCAGTGTTTTTATTGGTGAGATCATCCAGGCCCCCTGCAGTTTACTTATGACAGCATGCTACCGGGTACTGGTCCACACTGCCAACTACAAGACACTGCCAACTTCAACTACAGACATTTTTATAACCTTCCAGCCATGTTCAGAGTATCAGGTTTCCAGATAATGTTAACATAGTAGCATCTTGATGTCATCATACACAAAATAATACTCTAAACCGATCGATCAGAAATGCCAGTGACAATAGGATAGAAAATTTCCCTGATTGAGCCTTATTGACAAGTCAATTCAGTGAATTCCTAACAGTTTGGATCAGCCTCTGTGTCTGCTTAAACATGCAATGTGTCTGATTGAGGAACCATTCAGAAAAACTGGTTTGATAACTACACTGCACAGGTGCTTGCCTCTGTTGAACTAGTTGATTAAATGGGTCTATTCAGAAACAAATGAATACCTTTGTCTCAGCTGTCTGCAGCAACTAGGAACACTGGTATTTCCCCAGATAGTGTTAGCCTACAGCAGCTTCTCAATCCAGCTAAGAATTCCATTTTAAAGTAACAGCAATGCTAAACATTAATCTGACTTGGAATTCTGCTGCTTTCTGAGAAAAGGGTGTAAGTTTGATTTATAACACAAAAGCACCTATAAGCAACCTATTTCTACCAGGATTTATCTGGATGTCCCCAACAACTGCAAGAAGAGGCTAAGGCACTGCCAGGATACTGCATATACTGGTCGTAGCTGTCTCCTCCCCTCTTGCCCCCTCCCAGCCCCCAAAATGCCATCTCTCAGGTTGCTCTTATGGCCTCAGAGTCACTGCTAGGCAGTTCTTTCTACACTGGCTGATGGTGAAGGACATTCAGAGTTTGGCATTCCAGTTCCAACCTTGAGACAAGCTTTTGAGATTAGAGTTGGGATTCTGAATAATCTCATGCCAATAGGATTGTACCCCTAGAGATGTTAAATAGTTAATATATGAAATTGCTACTCTACCAAAAAAGTACCTCTAAGTAAATTGATTGAAAGCATAATTAAAAATAGAAAGCATAGAGGATGACAAGCCTTACTGAAAAAGAATCAATGTGGTTACCACAAAGGTTAAGTCATACTTCATTAACCTCTCCGAGTTCTTTCAGAGTGTCAATAAACATGTGACACCTCAAAGATTAACAAATTTATTGTGTTTATAACCCAATAATTGTTGAGAATAGTAGCTGTTAAGGTAGTTATGATTGCCTGTACTTTTTTGCATTTCAGTTCCCTCTGAAAGCACTGATTTCTCCTCATATGTACATAGATCAATCGATTTCAAATCAATACTTCATGATTCTTATGAAGTGGAAAGTATCCTTATTCTGAAATCTTATGCCAGAATAAATAATTTGGTGTATGTTACGGTGCCACATTGTTTTGCTATTACAGACTAACAGGGCTACTTTTCCAGCAATAAACATATGAATATGGGTGACCTGGTTGTCATTTTTTTACTTGAACTTCCAAAAGACTTTTAGCATAGTTCCTCATTTAAAACTCCTGAGCAAACTTTACAGTCACAGAATAAAAGGAGTGGTCCTCTTATGAATCAAAGAACAGAAAACAGAGACAAGGAATAAACGATAAACCATGTCATTTGGTAAACAAAATATATATTGTTGCCAATTGCAGCACCCCAAAACACCCCAAAAATAATTGGCCAGAGGAAGGCCCCAAAAGTAGTTGGCCAGAGGAAGGCCACACAGTACAACACCACAGTTATACAGTCCCAGAAGGGAGGGCGGATAAGAACAAAATGAACTTTGTGTAACCCACAGCTAACAAGCTAGCCTGACCTCCAATACAGTAGTCAAAGGGACAGTGGAAACTGGTTATAGCTGCTATGAAAGTTGCAAATCTGCAGGGAGTAAGAACATGGCAAGCCTGTGTGAATCTCGAGCAGATAAGAAATGGACATGGGAAATGTCTGGGCCTTGACAGAAGAAAAGACTCTTTGAAGCTAACAGCAGTGCGGGTGTGGCTACATCGATGTATTGATGCATTAGAAGTGTATTAGCTGACCTAACTGCTTACCTAGGGTATAAAACGCATGTACCGGGGGTGCAACTTTCGAGACACTACTTTGGACTGAACATCCCCTTTTGTCTCCCTTTATTCTACAGTGCACTAGAATAAGGCTGGTTTTGGCTCTAAGTCTCATCTCAGGCTCCTTTTGACTCGGGTCTGGGGTCCGCCCTAGCTGTTCGCCCTAGCTGTTTACTGGCTGAGTTTGGTAACAATATCAACAGTGGGATCTCACAGGAATCTGTTCTGGGCCTAATGCTTTTAAACTTGTTAAAAATAATGTGGAATGAACCGCAAGGGTGATTGGGAAGTGCTCCAAAAGGATCCAGGGAAGAATAGCCATCAAAATTGTAGGTGTGACTCAATGCAAGCCAATTCATTGGATTTATACATGGATGGGTCCTGAGCTAGCAGAGACTGACCAAGACAGAGGTGGCTGTCCAGAACAGAAAATGGAATGTGGTTTCTGTTTTGTGGCTCATTACATCCTTCCCATGCAGCTATGTATGAATGGTGAATTTGGTTGGTTCAGCTCACTTGGAAGTTGCTGGAGAACATGGGCAGCAGAGTGCCGTTATTCATGTCCTGCTTGTGGGTAGCTGGTGGGCAGTGGTGTGAATAGAATGCAGGGCTCCGTGGCCCCTTGGACGTCCCAGCCGAGCTCCTTAAAGGCTTCGCGTGGTACTTTCTCCGCATCTCCCTTCCCCTTGTCATCGTGGAGCGGCGGTCGAGACCTCGACGACGAGGATCAAGGCGGCAGCCTTTTGAAAGGCAGCGCAGCGTGGCTGAGAACAGCCCGTCAACCACTAGAGCGTGGAGGGGGTGAGGCAGCTACAGAGCAAGGCCGCAGGCAGAAGTGCGCCGACGGGCACTTCCCTGAGCAGCAGCCTCCGTCGTATTCCGGCATTCCGGAGGGAACGGTCGGCGGGCGGGGGAGGGGACGACGGCCGGCCAACGGGCAGCGCGCTGGTTGCGCGGGGGCCCGGTCGCTAGGCAACGGAGAAGCGGCCCCTGCCGAGGGCGGGAAGCCTAGTACGTAGGCGCGCGCCAGGGAGAAAGCGCGCGACCCTGCTTCGGCCCGGCTAGGTTGCCTTCCTCGGCCATGGCCACCTTTCAAAATGTGGACCCCGCACTTAAGGTCTATTTCAAGAAACACTCCATACCTGACATCTATGAGGTAAAGGCCGAGCTGCCCGTTGAAAGAGCGGAGTTTTGGCTGCAGATGCAGGGAGCACGGCCGCATGAGGGGAAATGAGGGCGACTTCCCCGCCTGTGTGTTGCCGTGGTGTGTTTTAGGGCTCAATGATGCTCTCGCATCTTTAACATTCCAGCGAGCGGCGCTTCTTTATGTTTAATATTTATTTCCAAGTATAACTTGGGCCTCTAGGGAGCCGCGGAGGGCTTGTAGGGTAACAGGACTAGGACGGGAGATGAGCGAATCCGTATCTTCCAAGATACTCTGGCTCCTTTGAGTTCAAAAGTCTGGCAGACTGGAGATTTTTCAAACAGAATCGAGTTTTAAGCAGGAGACACATTTTAAGGCGATCGATGCATAGTTTAATTTCTTCTTCAGCTCGATAGATTACATTTAGATTGTAATCGCGAAAGTTAGAAACTTAACACTGTCTAGGCCGTCTAGAGCATAAACAATAATGATTGCTCAGGATATTGCTCTTAGTTCATGTTGATTCCAGTTATTATCAGTCTAGGTAGGGATGCCTGTCAAGATTGAGAAGCAGTGAAAGGGGGAGATGTGATCTTTAGTTTTTTTTTCCTACCAAGTTCTGCCCCTGCTGTTCTGAGGCAGTATCTCAAGAGTAATATGTGATGGCTCTTATAAAAGCATTAAAACGTACAAATTGTGCTGGATCAGATTAATGGTCCACCTGTTCCAGAATTCAGTTCAAATGGGCCAATCAGCTAACCAAAGGATCCTCACAATAGGACATGAGTGGAACAGCATCCTCCCACCCAAGTTCCCCAGCAACTGGCATATGTAAGCATACTACTTCTTATACTGGAGGTAGCATATTTCCACTGGGACAAGTGACCATTGAGAGCCTTTTGTCCCATTTTCTTTTAAAGTTGTCCAAATTGCTAAGCATTCTTACATCTTGTGAATGTTGTCAATAGTTTGTGCACTGTGTGAAGAAGTACTTCCTTTGATCTGTCCTGAAACTCCCACTAGTCAATTTCATGGGGTAACTCCAAGGCTCTATTAAGAGACAAGGAGAAAAATGTCTCCCTATCCACTTTCTCCATACCATGCACAATTCTGTATACCTCTGTCATGTCTCCACTTACACATCTTTTTTCTAAACTAAACGATTTCAGTTGCTGTAACTTTTCTTCATAGGAGTGTCGCTCCGGACCCTTATTTTAGTTGTCTTTTACTGCACTTTCAACTCTCCGATCTTCTTTTTTAGATGTGGTAATGAACTATACACAGTATTCTAATTCTGGTTGCACCATTGATTTGTATAAGGAAGTATGGTATTGACAGATTTATTTTCAAATCCTTTACGAATTATGCTTAACAGGGAGCTTGGCTTTTTTCACATAAGCTGAGTTCCTTGAGTTAGCCACCATGATCTCTTTCTTGGTTGGTCTCCACTAATGCAGTTCCCATCAGCTGATTCTTGAAATTGGGATTACTTGCTCCAGTGTGCCTTATTTTACATTTGCTTACACTGAACTGCATTTGCTACTTTGATGCCTATTCCTGTGTTGAGACTCCTCACAATCCCTTTTTTCTTTATTTAAAATTTTTATATGCCATCGTATACTAAACAAACCCCCCTAAATAATTTGGAGTCATCAGCAAACTTGGTCATTTCACTCCTAACTCTAGATCATTTATGAGTAAGTTGAAAAGCATTGAAGTCATACAGATCTTTTTTGACCCCACTGATTAATTCTCTCTGTTGGAAGAATTTACCATTTATTCCCACTCTATTTTTTCTGTTGCTTAACTCATTAGTGATCTATAACAGAACCTTCCCTCTTATCCCATGACCGCTAAGAATCTTTTTGAAGGATTTTGTCAAATTTTAGAACTCCAGGTAAACAATGTCTTGTTTATTACCAGTCTTAAAGAACTCAAAAAAGTTCATGAGACAGGACTTGGCTTTGTGAAAGCTATATTGATTCTTTCTCAGAGGGGTTGTTCTTTATGCTTTCTAATTAGGGTTAGATTACTGTTAAATTGGAAATAGGCTTTTAAAAATCCCAGCTAAGAAATAAGCAGCAAAATTCTTGGATTTCTAGTTCAGTGCTCTGTTATGGAATGAGTTCATCACTAAGGTCCACTTTTGGCACCTTTTTAGCATTGTTCTCTACTACAGGGCATTTAATTGGTTTACAACTATATTGGGGCTTTGTTAGCTGCTTAAGCAGGTCTTATGATTTAATTTGTATATGCAAGTATAGCTGTTTATATTTCTTTTCAATTCAGTTTTGAATTTTTATGGTAATTTAAAAAAAAAAAGCTTTTTTTAACCCGTCTACCACTAGCGTCTCAGGACAGCTTACAATAAAAATGATGATGTTTTATGATGTTTTTATTGCTGATTGTCTTTTATATTGTATTTTCATGTGCTATTGTTTACCATGAATGGGTATGAAAGCTATACAGAGAAGAAAGCTGACAAGAAGAAAATAGATGCATTTGAAACATGGTTCTGGAGAAGAACTTTGTGAATACCCTAGACTGACAGAAAGACCAACAAATGGGTCCTAGATCAAATCAACCAGAGTTTTTCTAGGAACAAAAATAACAAATCTGAGAGGCTGTTGTTCTTTGGTTACATCATGAGAAAGCAAAATTCCCTGGAAAAGGCAATAAGCTGGGGAATGATGAAGGCAGAAGAAGAAAGGAAGACCAAATAGAAGATGGTTTGGCTGTGTAAAGAATCCAGCAACCTTCAATTTACAAATGCTGAGCAGGGCTGCCCTTGATAGGAAATTTTGGAGGGCTTTCATTTATAGGGTCACCCTAAGTAAGAGACAACTTGATGGCACATAACAATAACACATGTATTGTTGTAAACAGCCCAGAGACTTGTCCCAGAGTAAATAAATAAATAGATTAAATAGCTACTGTCCCTTCAAACGTGTGAGGTTAAAATAAAATGTTTATATATACAACTGAGGATCATATAACATCTAGTAGGGCAAGATGAGGGGAGAAACTACACTCTGGAAAAACCTTATATGCTACATAACTGTTATCATTAGCATAATTTTGAGACTGGATTCAAAAAGATACCTATGGAAAGAATGGTGGATGCAGTGAGAAATATAACCAGTAGGTGGCAGTTATGCACTTGAAATACCACCTCCTTGCCAGCATAGAATTTAAAGATATCAGTTATATAGAACTAGGGAATATGCAAATTGGTAGAAGAGATGTTACGTTCCAAAGGATGGTTGATGTAGGATGGCTCAGTCTCTTGTGGTCAAACTGGAATGGACATTTAAAATTTTGTGTGTAAGCTTTGTGTGGCTGCTGGAAAGGTGGTTTATTTGTGAGGCACATAAGTACAGCTCACTCAATTTTACTTTCAGTTTAACGTCATTTCACCATTATGGCCAGAAAATGCCAAGTCTTTGACTGAAAACAAGTGGCTTGCTCTAGCCTACATCTTAGGAAATATGCATAGATAAAAATTGACTTGGAGTAGTAAAAGTAGCAGTAAAGTAAAAATCAGTGGCAAACAGGCTTTATGCATGGAAGATCTACCATGTACAGTGGTACCTCGACTCATGAATTTAATCCATTCCACGACTCTGGTCGCTACCCGAATTGGTCGCAAGCCAAGTCAAATTCCCCCATAAGGTTCAATGTAAATAAGGTTAATCCGTTCTGTAAATTTTTTTTAATCACAAAAATTTGAAACAAAGTAACAAAGAACAACAAAGTAACAAAGTACAGTAGAGAACACTAACCTAGGTGGCGGGGAGGTTTTTGTTTGGAAGGAGAGTCCAAACCATAATCGTGCGATAGCGATCGTGCTGGGGGTGAGGGAGACGGCTGCAATTGTGCTTGGGGGGGGGGAGATGGGTGTGATCGCTGGTGTGCTTGTGCAGGGAAGATGGGCGTGATCACAGCCGTCTCCCCCCTGAGCACGACCGTGGCCATCTTCCCTGCACGAGCACAACTGCGATCACGGCCATCTCCCCACCCCCTAAGCACGATTGTGCAGGAAAGCCGGACGCAATCGCGATTGTCACCCAATGCGGAATTTGCGACCTGAGTCAATTCTTTTCCGGAAATTTCTGTTTGTGACCCAATTTGGTTATGAACTGAGGCATTTGTGAGCTGAGGTACCACTGTACTTCAGCTTGAGGAACTGAGTGCCTCTGAATGCGTGGCTCAGTCCAAAAATGTGTTTTTAGTAACAATGTACACCTTTTACTCAAAAATCAGCTAGTTTTTCCACAAGCTTCCTCTCCTCCCCAGCAATCTGGTTTGGAAGAAAAATATTGTTGCTTTTGCCATTGCTAAACAATTGGTACTAAGAAACCCTTGCTGATCTACTGCAGATCACCTAGAGATCTAGTATTTTACTACACCATCTGTTCTGTACCTTTCCTGACTCTCAATATCAGTTTCCTTTTGCAGAGGAGCTGCAGAAATGCTAACTCTGTTTGATTTACTGAACTTTGACTCTTTTGTTTTTTTTAGTTTGTTGCATTCTTGCTTTGCAAGGTAAGACAGGAGTAGCTGCTGCAATCAAGTATCAGTCCCTGGAAAGCTGTACAGCAAGGAGCAATGTATGTGATTGTTGCTTGGTTAAAGGAGGGCTATCTTGCATCCTTAGCAACTCCTTTTGTTTTGAATGAAGGGGCTGGTCAACTCTGACTAGTTAGCCAGATGTAAAATAATGAAGTGTCAGGGATTCTCTCTTCAGCTTCTATTTAGGATTCAGATTCAGACTTCTGCCTCCTTTTTCCTGAACTAGCCTGAACCCAGCCCCTGAATAAGGAAGCCTTTGTAGGCTTCGTGGGAAGATGTGTAACTGCCTTGGAGCCGGGCAGTTATTGTTTCATCTTCTTCTGAACACCCTCCACCTGTTTTGTCTTAAATCTGACAGTCAGCCCAGGGTCTAGTTAGGATTTAACTGTAGTTCTTTGTGATTCTCTCTCTATTCTTCCTGGGTACCAAGCCTATGTTACCAGGCCAGAAATCCCTTTATGCTTTCATTTTGAAGTGCCTTAGTTCCCCAGAAAGATCTCTTTGCCTTGTGTACTCAGGGAAAGAATGTATGGTAGAGCACTGACTCAATACAAATCCAAAGGTCTGTACAACTCAGTTTTGTGTGGCCACTGTTTGAATTCTGCTTGGAGCCTGATGAAAACTTGTATCTAAGCCCCAAGGTGCAATTTTGTTTGTTTTGTTTTGTTGGTCAGGAAATAAGCTTAAATTGTGTGAAATTGCTACCAAATAGATTTGAATAAGTGGTAAATAATGTAAATAGAAACATTAGAGAGAAATCCCACTGGCAAAGCTTTCATTCAAAATCTAATTATAACCAAATTATTGTGGGTTTGGGGTCCCTGATACAAGCAAGGATCTTGTGATTCTTGAGAACTTGTTATCAGGAAATCGCCATTGGATGTTATCCTTTGGCTTTTCTGGATAACATAGTTCTCAGCAGTGAACAAACTGGTTGAGGCTGATCTTCACAGTTTTAAATTTATTTTTTATTCTCTTTCTTTTTAAACTATCATTTGTTACCCCTGTGGCCCACTAGTACCCCATTTCATTTAGAAGTCCAGGTCTCCAATATGGTTCTGCAACATTTCTTTAGCCCAAAAGTGGACAACTTGTGGTCTTCTAGTTGTTTTGACCTAGAACTCCCATCATTCCTTACCATTGGTTACATTGACTAGAACTGATAGAAAGTGTAGGTCAGAACATTTGGAGAGCTGCAAGTTGTCCATCCCTGCCTTAGAGTCACCTCTCTTCCCCACATGACAAATGCTGATTTCCACACTCTGTATCTTTTTGATATGTTAGGTCTCTTCTAAGTATATTGCCTCTTGTGTGAGGGCAGATGTAGGCATCCTTTTTTGGTCCATGTGCACATTTGGCAATTTGAGAAACTCTACAGAATGGGTGTGGTAGAAAGCATTGGCCCCCAGAGCATCCTTATTTCCTAAGAATGCTTCTGAGCCCTGCATGTATCTCAGAGGAATTTATGTGGGGAAAAAAGATGGAAACAACCTGAGGTCCTTTTTGCTTTGAAGTTATCCCAGTTGCCAGTAAAATCATTCTGACACTTGGTCAACCTACCTCACACCTTATTAGTGATATGAAACGGGAACTTTGAATATTTGTGTGAGTATGTGTGAGAATGTATACATACATAAATATATACGAGCATACGTACATGAGTATAACACAGGTCTAGTGTATCTCTGATCATTACTCTGATTTGTCATTGTAACTATGTGTTTTTGTTTTGTTTTCCCCCTTTCCTGGATATGTGTGGTTCTACTCTTGTTTTGTGTTCTTGGTGGTTTTCCTCTGATTTGGTTTTGTTGAAGGATAGTAAAAAATCAAATCAAATAGAAATAGTTTAAAAATATTTAAATTTTAGTTTGGAGGGGTAAGACAACTCATCAAGCACCAAGTAAAGTGCTAGTCTGCAGGTAGGTATACTAACCAAGCCATTTTCCTCTGCTGTAATGCTTACACTGCGATCAATGAAAGAATTAAGAAAATATTAAGTGTAAAGATGTTTCACAGGAGATGAAGGCTAAAATCATTCACACTGTTGTATTCCTGTTAACTATGTATGTGAAAGCTGGACAGTGAAGAAAGCTGCCAGGAAGATTGAAACATTTGAAACTGGGTGCTGTAAGAGACCTTTGCAAATACCCTGAAAGATGAGCAAGTAGCTCCTACACCAAATCAAGCCGGAGCTTTCCCTAGAAGCAGAAATGACAAAGCTGAGGCTTTCATACTTAGGGTGCATGACAAGAAAGTAAAACTCCCTGGAGAAGGCAGTCATGCTAAGGAAAGTTCCTTTTGCTGCTTGCCTGTCCTTGGCAACTAAGAGAGTTGATCCTGCCATCCATCTAGGCTTTTTTCCTTTTTGCTATACGTATTGTCTTTTTGCCTTTTCCCCAATGATGTTTCTGATTTCAGTCCATAGTTTGTCTGATTCACAGACAAATTATGTCATCTGAGTTTAGTAATCCAAATCTGTTCCGTATGTGGACTTTAAATTCCTCAGGAATGTTATTTAAGTTGTATTTTGGCACAATGCTTTTGTTACGGCCTTTTTCAGCTTTACTCTTGGCAGTGCGAATACAGATTCTCCCATCTCTTGCTTTCAATTACACAGTCTATTTGATTTCTGTATTGGTCATCTGGTGATGTGTATTTGTGCAGTCATCCGATCAGTTAGTTTCTCAGGATTCTATGAATCATTCCTCTGCTTCACTCCTGAACCCTAGGTCAAATTTTCTCACAACACTGGATTCGCTGTGCTGCCTACTTTTGCATTCTAGTCAACTATGATTATTAGCATGTCTAGCTTTGGTGTTGTAGCAGTTTCCTTTTGAATGCTTGCATGCAAGTTTTTGATTTCTTCTTAAGCATTTGTTTTTGGAGCTCAGATTTGAATGATGGGTTTATTGATAGGTTTTCTGAGAATTCTGATTGATATGCTTCAGTCAGACTTTGCATTGTAGACCCTTGCTGACTGTGCTACATCTTGCATCTTTGTGTTTGTATTTCTAGAGTAAAAGTAGGGTTAGGGTTAGGGAAGGGGTTGTTCTTAACTGAAATGTTCATAACTGGGGGCTGGGTGTGTGTAAGTAGGGTGAAATGCCGAAAGGACATTCCATGAGGTCATTGCAGTTCCTAGCTGTGTAAGGCTGTATAAGTCAAAACCAGCACCTTGAATAGGGCTCAAAAAATATATATATCCAGTGCAAGTGGGCTAGCACTAGTGTTACATGTTTGGACCATCTTGTTCTTTTATCGATCTAGCTACTGTACTTCACATAAACTCCCAGTTCTGATCCATTTCAAAGGTGGCCTTACATACACATGCAGTAAGTATATGACTGAGAAATGAAATATCTGTTTTGTAGAACTTGGATAAGTAAAATAAGAGAAAGTATGGATTTTATCAAACTGTGTGCATATGCAATAATGCTGAAGAAACAGAATTCTTCTCTTTCTGCAGTTCCCACAGCCCCCTAACCTATCCTGGATAATTGGAAGTCCCTTTGGAGTTCATGCCAGGAGATAGGTATATAGGAAGGGGAGGCCCTGTTACATAGCTATATGTATATTCACACGTTTGGCATCATCCATTGAGATGAATGTAATGACAAATACATTAATAATGTAATATTTGGTAGTTTTTTGACAAAATGATTTAGGGAATATTTGCATATTTGATGAACTGTGCAATATGTAATAAGGTTTAGAAGACATTTTGAATCATTGTAATAAGCAATGAAGGCGCTATCATGGAGAAGGTGCTATCATGGAGAAGACATTTTAGGGGGCTTTCATTCATAGGGTTGCCATAGGTCAAAAATAACTTGAAGGCACTCTGCCCATTCCTCTGCGCTGCTTGGTTCCTTGTGCCACAGGCCACCCCATTAGAAGATTACCTTGATCACTGGAAGAGAAACAAAGAGTGGGAAAGTAATGTTCCACAAATGTGTTTCTATGTTCATTTCTTTGAATCCAACTCAACGTTTTTTTTACCTGATATGATTTTGCTCTGATTTGCTAATAGAGAATAAACCATACTCCTCCCTGGGGACTAACATGTTGTGCATATGAGAAAAGAATATATGTAAAGTATATGTCTAAATTTTACACTTTTGTTTCTATAAATAAATAAAGCAGGAGTCTGAGGATCATGGAGGTGATTAACTGAAATTATTCAAGAAATTAGACTATCATAGTCCAGATGATTTAATTGGTATGCTAGCTTAGGTGGGAAAAGCTGTTTGCTTGAGCTGTTCTAGAGAAATAGTGTATGAAGGAAAATAATGAAGGATATGTGGGGAAAAAACTGATCACCAAAAATTTCCGTAAAATTATTTGGAAAATTGTCAAATTCATGATACAGAATGCTATGTAAACTAGTTGACAAATTAAGTAAAGAACAATGTTTAACATGAATGTTAACTTCATGTCTTTATACAAGTATATTGTTATATTTATCAGAATTGCAAATGTGCTTTTTTTTGGTAGGCCCTGTTATGTGGTTTATTGATTATGTGTCCTGATGATCCACTCAGGTTTTTAGAAGAAAAGATAAAAGAAATAATGGAAAAAGGTCTTTATAGTATTTTATGGTAGGTATCAAATATTTTGTGTAACTTATAAATTTAGCAGTCATATATCAATTACTGAAATATGGTGAAATATTCCCATCTTACCTGGAGTGCCAGTGTGACTCACTAGGGTTCCTCAGTTTTTGTGCAATCCCCTACCCTATTCAGAAAGGTTGAAATGCCTTTTCTGAAGTTTTGTTACTGGCAGTAAGACCTTTAATCTAAAATATGCTGTTATTTGGGGTATTTTTTGGCCCTTTCCAGTTTTGCCTTTGACTTTATCTACCATTGGATGCAGCTCCTGAGAACTCCTCCCAAATATAATCAAGCCCTTTGACTAAAAGAATCCCTACCCCTGATATAAAGGCTGTGAATAATTGAATATCAGGTATTATATCAATATTTGTATTAATACAAATAAGTAGTGAACTGCTTGAACATTAAGTGATAGCCAGACCTCTGGCTTTTCTCTCATACAACAAGAGGAATAACCCAGGAAGAAAACCATGGGTTATTTCTTTGTTTTGTTAAGGAAGAGGCAAGCCAAAGTTAAAGATCCAAATGTTATACTAAACAACCTAGTGACAGGAGGAGCTTAGTAGTAGTAGTAACTGAGCATTGTGAACTAGAGTGTTGACCATTCATGACAACCAAGAGTTATATTTAAAAATTGTCATTATGTGAGAACTGGGTCATTATCTCTGGAGGAACAGAATGATAAAAATAAGAACTATTTAAAAATATTAGTGGTGAAGTTGAACTTCAACAAAGTAAATTTTCTATGAGGTAGTCATGATTTGAATAATAGTGCTTTGTTTTCAGTGAATGAAAGTTGTAATGTGATGTGGATACAAAAGTAACAGTTATCTATTTTTTTCATCCCCCCCCCCCAGGAATATGTGTATTGATCCAGCATTAAGTCTAAGGCTAAAAGTGATTTCAGAAACATATTTACACACTCTTTTGGGACTTGATGATGATCAGCTGGTAATTATTGTTCAAAGTTTCTTGAAAACCTTACAGTAGAATAAAAACAACTGCCATCTTCAAATGTTCTGTAGAAATAATTGTGCTTTATTTGTATACATAGTTTGCTTCATTCCAGAGTATTCTGTATTCCTAAAGATTTAATGATCTAACTGCACAATCTGAATGAGCCTCTGAACTCAGAGGCCCACGCTTAACCAATTCAGAGGAGGTGGAGCAATGGCAGAGACAGTGTTCACCTCCTGTTCTGCATTTTTGGCCATCTAGCTGGAATATCTTGGAGAGGGAGAGAAGGAGGCTGGAGCAGTCTCAGGATACCTCGTACCTTAACCATTCCAATTTCTTTCCCAAGCCCAGAACATCCCCTTCTATTCCTCTGCAAGGTTGCTTTAATGACCTCAGAAAGCAGCTGGTGCAGTTCTTACCATGCCCATAGGAAGGGGGTGGGAGAGGGGAGGTCATAACTCCAATTCCTAGTTCCGAGGTTGGAGCGCTGTCTTAGAGCTGGGAATCCAAACAATCTTACGGCCCCTCTGAGGACATAGATGTAGAAACTGAACCCAATTCTTCCAAAATATAGCATTCCAAGGTAGATACCTCAGACTCTGAATCTGAAGAAGATATAGGGTCAGAATGCTTAACTGAAATGCCAAGGCCATGAGCTTTGAGATGAGTCAGGCAGCTGGTAAGAAGCAGCTGGGTCACAGGGAGATACTGTAGAACAGGGAAGGTTGGAGGGGGAGATGTGTAACTCCATCAGTCTGGTTATCTGATGGCAGGTCAAACTAGCTGACCACTTAATGTATGGTGTTCCTGCCTTTGTGGGGGTGGAGCTAACTGTTTGGTGGGGAAGGGAGGAGGTGGATTCAGTTTGGAATCAACTACTGGCATGATCAGAGAAGTTAATTAGAGGTTTGTGTATTTCTTTTTACAGTATTTGTTGGTTGAGTGGTTGTTTGATTAGAATACAATCTTAACTGATAATGGACATCAAATTGGTTATATTTCTCAAGTATTGACTCTAGTTTTGCAGCTCTCAATAGAAGCACAATTGAATTTTATGATGAACAGTATGAAAAAAACCACCATGCAAAATTTTATTTTTGTGGTGAACTATGCATATACCCCCCATTTTAACTGTACACTTACATTTTAGATGACAACAGAGCTGTGTGACAAAGCATGGGACTTTTACAGCACCAACTTAAAGAGAATATGTTTTGAGTAAGTAGAGTTACTTTCAGTATACAAACAATTTTATCTGAAATGTGAGGAACTTACCATGCTATAAGTAATTCTATAGCAATAGAATTAAGGTTTAGTCCTCATAAGCAAGCCTCCTATATGCAAATAAATCTTTTCTCATAAGGAAGCCTCTGGTTTAGTCTTGCACTTCTTTGCACTTGACTTTTCAGGTAGAATGACTCCTGAGTACTTGGAGGTTTCTCTGTCTCCACCTTTGAGGCAGTCTTTGTCTTCCAGAGGTGATACCTTCATGGTAGTCACCACTGAGGGCTAAAGCGCCTCCTAGTATACTGGCATCTTGGGTATTGCTTGTGGTGACTGACTCCTGGTCCCCCAGCTTTTCCTCTTTCTGTGGCAACATGATGCTTGGAGGTTTCTAAGTATCTTATGGTCTGCTGAACTGCTGCAGAAGGGCAAGAGCAGTGTGAAAGAGATTTTTTACCTGTACAACTCCTCTTCTCTCCTCTCCTCTCCTCTCCTCTCCTCTCCTCTCCTCTCCTCTCCTCTTCATTTCCCGCAATTTACATTTTAAGCCTGTCCAGAGCATTCATGCTACTACAAGCTGGGTTGGGGATGCGGGGGCCATATGATTTTGCATATTATTTATTCAGTTTATTTACTATCCCATCCTCTCCACTTACTACCCTCTAGAGCAATCCTTTTTAATTGCTATGAGATTATCCAAGGCTGCTTTTGCAACCTTGGAGATCTACAAGTTGCCCATACATACTCTAAGCCTTTATTTTTATTTTGATGAATATATTCTCCACATGCTCTCTGTGAAATTGCAGTGCTTTTTATTTTCTTTCATTCAGGTCAAAAGCTTTATTAATGCATTGTTTATTATTTGCTTAATAATGTAGTGCATGGATAAACTATTGTTCCATGAAGAAAATTACTAGAGCAGTGCTGCAGAAAAAGTTGTCTCTGGCAAGACATGTCTATGAAAACAAGTTATTAAAATTAATAATAAAGAACTGGAACACTTGGGTGCAGTATCGCAAGGAAGAACAAGATGGTAAGCCTTCTTATGAAATACGAGGGTTTTTATTTTTTACAGAAAGATCATTTGATCCTCACCAAAACTGTTCATCTTCATTATCTCTCATATGGTCCCTGTGTCTTCATGGAGTCTGTTGTTCAGAAGATTTAATAGCTAAGAGCATTTTTGTAGGAACCCTTCCTTTACCCCAGCATCCTCCATAAAGGCCATGCTGCCCTTTCCCTCAGTTCTTTGATGCCTCAGGAAGGTCTCTCTCTTTCACCTCCTCATGAGCTGTTCAGAATTTTTCTTCTTTTCTTACAACTCACCATGATTCTCTCCAAAACTCACTCCTCTTCACATTCTTTTTCCCGTTTTTGCTCAACTGTTAATCATTTTCCTACCATCCAATCAAACACACACACACACACACACACACACCCTTCTTTGTTATTTCTTGCTTATTCCACAGTCTCTTCTTTTGATTCTTAAGAAAATATCTTTATCTCTTTCCGGATGCATCAAAGGCTCCCTTCCTTAGGTATGGCTCTAAAGTTCCACCTAAGGACAGGCATTTCTTGTGTCTGCTTTGCTTGGCTGAGGGTTCCATAGTCAACCAGTGCCCTTACTTGTCAAGCATTCACAAAGGAGATGTGCTGACAGCCCCCAGGCTGTATTATGAAATACAGTCTAAGAAAGGTGAATCTCTGAAATTCGCCAGAGCAACCTGGCCCATAGACTTTTAACTCTGCATCTTTACTGTGGTGCATGTCTCCTGCAACAAGTTGATTCTGTTGGTGTGCCAGCTGCTTGGATCTGGAACTGTTGTGTTGACAAGAAGATAAGGTGCATTGCCATTCATGTTATTGGAACCAACAGCAGCTTGGTTGACACCTTGAGCAGGAATCAGAACATCCACAACACAAACTTGAGCTCATAGTACATTTGTTCCAGACAATCCTAAAAAGCTCTGCTCAGGGGCAAATAGATGATTGAATTGTAGCAGTGAAAAGTTGTTTCTGCCACTAAATATGCTTGATTGTAAGTATATACCAAGGCTTCATTACATTCACTACCTGTTTTTCTCCACTTTCAAGTCATTTCTTACTTTATGTCATCACTTGCAGCTCACCGTGTGGAGCCATATGAGTTCTACTACAGAGTAATCTTAAGAGTAATCATGTCAGTCACCCAGGTTATCTCTATGTTTCACAAGTCAACCAGGACTTGTCTAGAAACTGTCTGGATCCATTAGCTCCCAGGGTGGACCATCAGTATGTCCCACCCGCTTCCAGAAGGAAAAGCTGTTGTCATTCTAAATTTCAGCAGGTAGCAATCAGCAGGTAGTCAAACTCTCCCAACTTTGGAACAGTATTTTCATACTTAGCCCCCAATCCCCAGCTCCTTGTACCCCCCCCCAAAAAAAAACCCATATAAAGTGTGATCTGCTTTATACTTTTGGCTGATGACATGTTAGGAAATTCCCATGGTTGTCAGGGAGTCCACAAAAACTTGATCTACCCCAGATAAGGTGACTTTGGCATGAACGCTGATGTCCCCTAAAATCAACCATTCAGAGAACTTTAAACTACCCAGACAGTTTTGACTACTGGGCAATATAGAAATTAATTAAATAATTAAAAATAAAAATTAGGTTTGAACTGTATAGGTCAGCTTACAGCACTGTCCTATAAATGTCCACTCAGAAGTTAGATCCACTTAATTAATTTATTATTATTATTATTATTATTATTATTACATTTCTATGCCGCCCCTTGCCGAAGCCTCGGGGCGGCTTACAACACAATAAAATACATTGAAATACAATAGAACATAATAAGTTACCACTAAATACAAAAATACAAAAAATAAAAAAATACACTGAGATACAAACATAATAATATAAAATTAAGATTAACAGTATAAAATAAGTATATAAATAATATAGGAGGAGAAAAGAGAAGGAAGAAGAAGTTGCCCTGGCCAGATCATATATTTTAACAATTAAAATGATGTTTAAATAAAAAGGTCTTTACCTGGCGCCGAAAAACCAGTAACGACGTTGCCAGGCGGACCTCTTTGGGGAGTGAATTCCATAGGTTGGGCGCCACCGCAGAGAAAGCCCTCCTCCGAGTACTTACTCTCCTAATTTCTTTCATGGAGGGTTCCTGGAGAAGGGACTCTCCCGCAGATCTCAAGGGGCGGTCGGGCATATACGGACGTAAGCACTCGTTCAGGTAGCCAGGACCCAAGCCGTTTAGGGCTTTATAGGTCATAACCAACACCTTGAATTGAGCCTGGGCTTCAATGGGAAGCCAGTGATTCCCTGGTAAGCGTGGTTATGTTTGTGTCTGTAGTTATCAGTGTTGCTTCCTAGATCTTCTCAAACAATTCAGATTGTGTTGCTGCTTCAGTTTTCTTCTACTTCATGGCAGTGAAACTCAGCAGCACCAGTCTAAATCTGTTATCAGTGTCATTGTAAGATAGCTAAGCCAGGTCTTTTTTAGGATCCATGTATTGTAATAATTAAGTCAAAGAATATTTTTCTAGAACAATGGAATAATGGGATAATTTTTTTAAAAATGGAAACAATTAGCATGTACAGCAGAACATCTCCATCATAAATAGGAATAATATACAACATATGTGATGTCAAATGGTAATATAAGACCTTAACTAGCTTTTATTTCATATTGATCAATGTTAATGTAGTAAGTACATTATTTTAAACCAAATTCATAAGATCCAATTATTCACCTTTAATTTTCATGAAATTGGGAATTTCATATTTTAAGGCTTGGTTCAGCCGATAAACCATGTTTACTTTAGTTAATTAAGACAAGATTTGTTAGTTAACTAGAGTTAAGATCAATCACAGCCCCTTGAGTTCATATGTAACACATTTATCTCACAAAGAAGAGAGGGTGAGTGCATTGGTCTGAGGATCACTGAGACTTATTCATGCTAATCTAATCATAGTTTAGATCATTGTTTGATCTATACTTGAAGGTTCTTCTGAATCAGTAACAAACATGTTTATGCATCAAACAAACTTCTTCAACTGAGCAAATTTGTAATGGTTTCTTATTTATTAATAAATTAATAAAACCATTTCCAATGTTTTTACCTCAGGGGCAGTGAAAAGAATAGCAAAAGTCTTTGAATGTGCTTTACAGAAGAAAATTTTAATGACTTGGAAAAAAGAGGCAGGTTTTGTCAGAAAGGCTAAAAGATACATGGAGGTATGTTATCTAGGATGATTTAATTAGTTCTCCGTGTTTAAAGTGCCTAAGTTGGTATAAATTCAATTTTAAATTGAGTTAGCTGTACCCAGTGCTAAATGGCTTGCTGCAGCTAAGGGGACATCTCAGTGCTTGTGTATTCTTCCCTGGGATAGCAGAGAAAAGGGAGGCAAAGACACACAACCCCTGCTGTGCCTGATCGTTGTGAGGCACAGAGAAATTTTAACCACAGTGCTTGGTTAAAATTCCCAAGGGGTTTAATGTATCATGTGAACCTTCCAATAATTACTCTTTGTACAACAGTGAACAGATTCACATATTTTGAAGTTGTCATGGCTTCTGTCCCTAAAGTGTTCATTGTACAAACCCCTTTTAACAGTGGATCTTAATCAAGCAGTATGTCTGCAAAATACTGGGAAGGAACTTTTTTACCCTATCACAGTTTGTTACCAGTAAACGTTTTTATTCTGACTTTTTTGAATATGTGATTTTCATGCTGTAATGCCTATGGGATCTGTATCTGGAAAGCAGCATTTTGAAAACTCATATAGCTTAAAAGAACCTCGCAGCCCCTAGGTTTGAGTGGGAAGAATCTGTACGACTACATGCCTGAATGGCAGGACCAATATTCTCCCTCCCATTCCCTTCTGACAATTATCTGAGCAGCATAACAAAGAACTCTGTCAAGAGTATCAGAAACTTCTCCTTATAACTACACCTTTTTGTAAATACGTATCAAATGATTTTCTTTTTTCATCTACATTGTTATTTATTTTAATTGTTATAAAGAGAGAAAAAGGGAAATGGGAGAAAGACTTATGAAGTGCATTCTTTGTTCCCACACCATCTCAAGAGATTGAGGAGTATGTGGCATGCAGTATAGTGGCTAAGTTTCTTTTCAGCAATCTCCTGCTAATTCATGTGCATTGTAGCTGCTTGCTGCCAACAGGAGCCAAATTTTGTGTCAAGCAGCAGTGTGTAGGGGACTAAGTATAATTGTTGAGACAGTTTGATTACTAGGCAATAATCCTGGTGCATTCTCTCACAGGATTGAGACAGGAATGCTACCATGTTACTGCATCACCAACACCAGCACCCCACTGTTGCAATTGCCATGCCACATTCCCACTTCCCCATACTGCCACATTGCTTGCCATCTGACCTGTCCCGAAGATCGTCTCAGACTAAGCCACAGAGGAGAGCCATGTCAGCCAGTGGCAATAGCTAGAATGGGTGTTCTGAGAAACAGACAAAATGGCTGTGAGTGGTTTTTATTCAGAGTCGCGTGTGGAAGGGGTATCACTGGAGATTGCCTATACAGAGAGTTCAGTTGCTGTCTGGACTTCATACCATTTTAGGATGGTTGGATGTAGGTTACTATGTGTTGATAAATGAAACTGAGAATGGTCAGAGCATTCCTATTTTCCAGTTTGCATTCCATTATCTATCTGAGCATATCAAGAAGTTGGTGCTCTGAGAACTTTGCAGCAGGAGGTGGGGTTGTCTGCTCTACCATAAAGCACAAGCGGGGGGACAATCAGCTGTGTGATAGAGTGGAAAGGAGTAGCACCATGGTGATTTCTTTGCTCCTGCCTGAAAGGAAACCTCTCAGTGGCTGGGCACTGTTACAACTGGGGTAGCACTTTTTCTCCTGGTCTTGCTTAAGCTTTCTTTTGAGCAGGAATGATGAAGATGAGGCCACGTTTGGCAAGGATGCTCCCTTCTTGGCATGTCTCTGCCTAGCTCAGGTCTCTTCTTTCCCTTTTCTGCTGGAGAGAAAGCTGCTCAAGCACTTTCTTAGCCACTGTGCCCACCTCTGCCTCTAGCTGCAATGCTGGATCCAAACAAACCCCCAAAGTATAAACCTGATCTGATAGGGGGAGTAAACCCCCTTCAGAACAGTTGAACATCACTTAGCCATGTAGTCATTTAACCATGTACACCCATCTTTTCTGCATTGAATCTCACTTTATTGGTCTTCATCTAGTAGATTACTGCATCCAGGTTCAGAATCCCCACTGCTTCATCGGGTTTTGATAAAAAGGAGCAGGGGGAAAGGGTAGAGAGAGATGAATAGATGTTCATATCTCCAGATAACCTCCCCTGATGGTTTTGTGTGGAAAGTAATCTACATGCAGGAAAAAACAGAGGCCTGAGGCATCCCATGGTGAACAGAGAAATAATCCCCCAGCAACATCTTCTGGAGTAGATCATCCAAGTAGAAATAAAACTAATGCAGGAGAGTGCCTCCCATCTCCGATAGCATTTACTGAAGAATACTACAGTTGATGTTATAAAGAGCTGAGAGATCCAAGAGAGTAATGCTAGTTGTGCACACCCTGTTCCTCTCTAGCAAAGATCATCCCACAGGGTAGGAAATGCAGTTTCTATTTCAAAACCATGCCTGAAGTCTGATTGAAATGGATCTCAATAATCTGTTTTATTCAAGAGTCCTGAAGTTAGCCAGCAACCACCTGCTCATGCACCTTGACCTTGAAGAGGGCCTAAACTTTTTAACATTTTCCAAGCCCATGTTAGGTCTTTTTAGGAGTGACTCAATTGCTTCCTTGTTTAAACAGTTAGCACCATATCCTCTTTTAAAGAGGAGTTGATAGCATCCTGGACCTAGGCAAAAATCGCCTCTCTTTTAAATGTAATAAGCCAGAACAGGCAAGCATCAATCACACAGGTGATCAACCAGGCTTGGCTCCATTGAATAACACAATGAGATGGTGCTGTGGATACCTCTACTACCGTAGTGTCCAAGTCACGTCAAATGCAAGTGTCTGTCCTTAAAATGCAATGTATAGTCATCACCAAGGTTGCAACAAAGTTTTGTGGAATCTGTTTCTCTAGCATTTGCAGACTTCCTCTCATGTACAACCCTGTCTTAGAAAGCAAGCTGAGCTGAGAAGTCTGTCAACTGTCACATAGCAAAAGTTGGGCAAAATCAACAACAAAGGCTGCTGCATATGACATAGAAAAAGGATGCCACTTGTGCAGTGTTTGCATGGTGCTCAATATCTGGCAAGTGCTCTTGTTGCCACTGCCACAGGCAGAGTTCATTAATGAGTTTTAACCTGTGTTCAATCAGTCTTCCTCCATGGTCATTCTATCTTCAGTCTTGCTTCATTCTTCTCAGATCAGGTATATACCAAAGAACTACCCAGGCTCTGCTTACTGGGAGAGGGTTCTTGAGAGCATTTGTGTCAAGTGTCTTACTAAATTTTTGCATTCCACAAAGCAACTGGGGCTTTGGCACAACTGTCAGCCATACCAGCTGGAAAATCCATCTGAGTCTTCTGGAATCCATCTGAATTTGTTAGCCTCTAATGGAAGACCATTTTAAGGAGTCCTCTGCCCTTGCATAGGGGAAAAGACTGCTGAAAGGCTAAACTTCAACAGGAAGTGAACTGGACAAAGGGATAGATGTTAGCTCCCCTGCTTTCCTATCACTATCGTCTTGCCCACTCAAGAAAACCAAAGCATGAGTCCTCCTACATGTGTTGGGCAATGGCATGTTGGGATGTAGCTTCTCATGGTGGCCATTAAGTCCCAGATCCAATGGCTTCAGCATGTAAGTTGAGATTCCCCAGAATTATCATCATAAGGGCCCTCAATATCAAGTCTGAGACCACCTCCATCTGCTCAGTCACAGAGACTGATGGGTAATGGGGTGGATGGTATACCAGTAGAATTTTCTGTCTGGGTACCCAAGACAAGACACAACGTTCAAGATTGGCACTCAGAAACCTGATGACAGAGATATAATTTCTCTGATACAGCTTTGTATCAGCTTGAATTAGTTCTCCTTCAAGTCTGAATCAGTAAGATTCTATGGATTTTTACCTAGAAGTAAGTTAAACAGAATTTAGTGGTACTAGTGTGCATAGTGCTGGAGCCTAAGGTAGCTCATTTATTAAAAATATAGCTTCCCTTTCTGTTATACTAAGGCACTCACAGTGGCTCACAAAACATTTAATATGCTTTTTTTTAAAAAAAATGTGTTGGTAGAAGTGGTGGTGGCAAATTATGGGATCAGAGCAATAATTCAAGAGGAATGTATCCCCTTGCTGAAATCCTAAGGAAAATCTCTCTTCTTAAAGCAATATTTTCTGTGGGGAAAATCCATCAGGCAAGCACAGCAGGAGGGAAAAGGATTAAATTCCACTTTCAAAACCTGTTCTGATTTCATTAACAGAGGCAGATGCAATTAATGTTTAAAAAACATATTTAATGTCACATGTAGTTTGGTGCTTAATTAATCAAATTTGCTTTAGTTTGCAGACTGTAGAATGAAGAAAATGTTACCTTTGTTGTATTTGATATGTATTTTATAGCATATAGAAGAAGCAACTGAGGAATTGCATGTTGTTGAAAGAACTCATGCTGAAAGACGTCATTCTGAGAAACGTCACTCCGCCATGAGGCATCATTTTGATGAAACCATCTTAACATTACACTCAAGATCAGGCAAAGAACATTTGACAAAACTGCCAGAAAGAGCAATAGCTCAGGTGCTATGCAGTGTCTTCTTGCTGTTTGCAGGGATATATGAGAATTTGGTTTCTATTTATAAATTTATGTTGTAAGCCGCCCCGAGGCTTCGGCGAATGGGGCGGCATAAAAATGTTTTAATAAATAAATAAATAAATAAATAAATTATATGAATCATATGAATATGTCCCACTCGGAACCCCAAATGTGACCACAAACAAGCATAATTCTTGCATATATAAGTTCAGATTAGAAGATGCAGTTTCAAATATGCACTTCTGAAAATGTACATTCCCCTCCTCCCTAAAGTGCATTGTCACACTTTAGTCTGGTGAGGGTGGGGGAGTGTGCAGTTAGGGCCTATGCTTGGAAAACTGCATTTTTGTGTTAGAAAATGTGCACTCTTCCTGTTACAAGGGGAAAATACTCTCACCTTTGGGAGTGAAAATAACATGAAATGAATCTCAAGAATGAAAGTGGAGAACCTTGATAAGCTTGTTCTTGTTCATGTGTTGTTCCATCCTTAGTTTTTTGTTTGCTGGTTAGTTAGTTAGTTAGCTTGTTTTTGTTGAAAGATACTAAAATCCCTGCTCCAGCCTCTTTTTTTGTCCTCTTTGCTTATTCTGGCACTGACCCTTTTTCTCTGGCCTCAAAGCAGAAGCAAAGTAGTTGGTTCCAGAAGGAACATATTTTGTGTTTCATTTACTGCAAAACATTTCTTCCCCTTATTGTTATAAAGCAGAAACAACAGCAGCAATATCTCTAAGAAAGACTGTAGAAGGGATCCTTGGTCTTGTTGGCAAGTGTATTCTTCAGCGGGGATTTGAATTTGCTCTGGTAGAGAATGTTGACATTTGATAGTTGTGAGGAAGTTTGGTGAGGAATTCTAGGTAGAATACATCCGCATAATACTAGAATCCCACGATGATTAGGTCATAATGCATATAATAGACAGTGCCTCTCTCACAATATTTAACAACATTGAAAATTAACTGAAACAAGATAACTTCCTCCTATTCCAAATGCACTACATAGTGAAGTTTTTGCTGCTTTTGTGATATGGGCAAACACTTTTCAGACTTTTAATGTAAATAAGGGAAGGACTTCATGTGTATTTGTCAGCTACCCAGAAAATATTTGGCTGGAAAGAGCAATATAATGTTTGAATCATAGCCAGTAAGGCAATGTTCCTCACCTGTTGTCCATACCAAATCTGAAAATGGCCCATTGATGCAAATTGTTTAAAGAACTCTATATTAAGCATGCTTTGTGATGAAGCTCTGAGCCCTTGCTGACTATACAGAATCTGTCCAGGTGCTCTATTTCATGGTATCTTGCACTATTAATTTTAAACCATTTTATTGCATCCCATCTTTTTCATAATAACATTTCCCAACCCATCCCATTTCATCAATCCTTTATTATCTCATCCTGTTTAAAATGAAGACTCCCCACTATTTATATTCTATCCTACAGTAAACATCCCATCACATCCCATTGTTTTCCATCAACCATTTAATTTATTTCATCTTATCCCATCCCTTTTATAATGCATCCATCTCCCAAAATTTACTGAAGATAGGATTTTGAGGCTGTGACAAGGGCAGACCATAGTTGTTCAGTTGGTTCTACAAGTGCATTTTCTGCAGCCACTTTTCCCCACTTTTGCCAGTGGTCATACATTTTTTTTGGTCAACACTGAAGTCTAGAGGTCTTTGAGAGCTGACCCACAAGCTGTACCTTTTGTGTGCCTGACCTCAAAAATCCAGTCTGTAGTTTTGGAGTGCAAATGGACCCAACTATAATCTAGGATAATGTATCCAGGAGTGCCTTAGCAGAGGTTTGACTCATGTTCCATTTATGCCCTTTCCTGGAAAAGGCAGATCTGGCCCTTGTCACACATGTCTTTTTCACATTCAGATTAGTTTACTGCAACACATACTGAATGAGGCTGTATCTGAAAAAGTCTTGAAAACTCAAGCTGCTCAGGGTTTGGCTGTGTCCTGCATTTTGGAATATATTCTAATATTATTCAATTATGCTTCTGTTACTAGTTCATTTTCAGAAACAATTCTAATTTTGGTTATTAGTTACAAGAATATGACTGGTTTTGGACCAGGATATTTGAAGAACCACCATCAGCAGTTAAGTCTGCTTCTTCATCAATGTCATTAGTTGCATCAGAGACTGCTTAGCATTCCATTATCGTAGGAAACAGCCTTTTTAGCTGCAGTGGATAGATTATAAAATGATTGAGCCTGGGAAATCTTCCTGAAATTTTAGTATCTTGCTGTTTTTGCACAGCTTTCTCTCCCCCCACTTTTTGTGATGCTGTTATTTTACTATCTGGTTTAATTATAGTGTTGTGGGGTATATATTGTTCTAATCAATGTTAGTATGACATGTTGAGACCTCCTGTATTTTATTGTCAGTCCAAGAGAGAGGAAAGCAGCTGGACTTTCCTCTATGATGATAGCTGTCCTGTGGGAAGCTATTTTGGGGAGGGAAAGAAAGGCAAAGATCACCACACAACCTATTTCAGGGTGTTCCACAACCAACTGCCCCTTAGGGAAGGATCAGTATAACATGTTATTTAAAAAAAATTTGTGATTGTATTAAGTCATTAAGTTATTTGTAAGTTGCTTTAGAAGGATTTGGATTCAGAAAAGCAAGATACTTTATGAATATAATAACATACACCCTAACCTGATACTTTATAGCATTTTTATGAGCTAGTTTGTGTGGGAAGGGTTTTGACTAAGAAAAATCTAAACTCCAAAGATAGTGAATGCCTTATGTGCAAACTATACTGCTCATGTGTACTAATAGTTTTGTGTTTTGAACCTAGATCTTCCACTATTTAACTTTAATTGACTTGGGAAGATGTGCTCAGGTTAACCGAGCTTGGAAGGCAATGACACAAATGACTTCTGTATGGAGTAAAGTAAGTAGAACCAAGTTTGAATATTATTTTTTTTTAAAAAGGAGTAAATAAAAGTAATAATTATTTTCCTTGTTTAAGTTAGTCCATTGTGCTACAAATGTAATACTTCTGTTATGGAATCATTGGGTACCTAATGACAATGACATAGAATGTTTTGACTTTAGTATCAGTACAAAATTACTTGTCATGGCTGTAGAGTGTAGCAGTAACTTGGACATAGACTCAGAAACTGAAGAACTGGTGATGCCATCAGAAAAAGCTCCAGTTTGAAGCATTTCTCCAGTACCAGGGACCCACTGAACCCAAGATGCCAGACATCCCTGATCGCCAGCATTTGCAGTCCCCAAGACCTGCTTCAACAGTAGGCATGTGCTCTTGGAGAGACAGAAGAATATTAGATTTTAGGCCAGAGGCCTGTCCCTTTTTGTAGGAACAGGTAGAGCTCAGACTGTTGGAGTAAGTTGCTCACTAAGAGATTTGCTGCTGCCTTGCACCAAATCCTTGGGCTCTTGCTTAGATCAAAAGAAGAAATAGCATTGAATTTAAGCAGGCCCATGCACACGTATACACATGTGTGTGCACACATGAGATTCACAAGACGCATCAAAAGTACTGTTGTACGTGCATGCATGTGTGTGGTTCATGTGTGCATGTGCGCGCACACACTAATTTAGTCTTGCTAGTCCAATATTGAAATTGTAATCTATCAGGATTCACATTTGATGTATCTGAGGGGCTAAATTAATTAAATTGTTGACACAGGGCTAGCTCCAAAGGCTTTTCACAGAAGGGGCTCCAAAGCATTAACTGGTTAATTGTTTTGGTACTTTGTGGATGCAAAAGGAAAGAGTGCAGAAATGCTAGCCAATATTCTTTTTAGCTAACTCACTGAGTTTGGAGGAGAAGGCGGGTAAGAGCCTTACTAACAAGAGAGTGTTTGTTGTCTTTCACGCCTGTGTAATCAGAACTGAGGGAAGTAAGGCAAAGAACAGAAGGTGTCAGTGCAAAAGTAATGCTGCAAGAGAGAAAAAGCAGAGCCTACACATAATTACATGTGCACTAGATTTCTCCCTGTGAGTGTATGCATTAATAGAAAAAGAGTAAGGACTAATTTTTAATTGTTTTCTTTAGTTTTTTGTTTTAGTTCATCTATATTAGAAGTGCGATGAGCACATATTTGTACAGTTTTAAGAGGCATGAAGAGGAACAAAGTAATACAAATTTAAATAATTTGGTACATAGAAATAAACAATAGACATGTTTTTATTAAATAAATTATACTAAGATGATTTCTGCTAGTATTTTAAAATAACCACTATCAGTAAATTGATAACAAAATTAAATTGATACAAAAATAGTGAAATCCTGATCAATATTTTTCAAATTATAACTATTGAAAATTTGGATGATTCCTAATAAACACTTTGAAGCACATAAACCATATTATTTTAGCTTTTATTTCAGGGAATTACCTTGCTTTAGAACTGATAGTATAAATATCTATTTCCTATTGTCATGGCATGCAGTATATTTTCATGAAATTCCTATGAAATACTCACCTGTCAGAAGCAAAGTATTTCCTTTAAAGATAGCTGCATATAGCAAATCATTAATTTATGGAATTCATAGTCATCTTTTTATCATTACTAAAATAATATATTTTATTTTTAGGTTAATTTTTCTGCAGTAAAAGATATAGTGAAAGATAATATAGCAGGAAATATTTTACTGAAGTGGCACACAAGTGTAGTACATTTGAATCTTCGTGGCTGTGCTACTCTTCACTGGCTTACTTTTAAAAATATTGGTAAGAATTTTATTTTCTTGCAATTCTAGTATCATGTACTTTTCTTTTTCTTAATATAGCTATATGTCTACTTTTTGACATAAGTATATTGAATCACATACTTGAAGTCTTCACATGAAATACTTTTTAAAATACAAGTTCTCGGACTATCATTTTATAATTCACATTTGGTGTGGAGAGGGGACAGGTATTACACCTTTTGGTTACACAGCGTAAAACTTGTGAACCAGTAATGCTGCCAGCCAAGGATATTCTGGCCTACAAACTGAGTGCTGCTTGGCTGATGTAGAGTGGAAGCTTTTTCTCTCATTTGTACCTGAAGTATTAAAGCTAAGGTTCACTGTTTGTTTCTCTCTCCCAAAAGTCTGTCTGACAATCTTATCTAACTTTGGGAGTTTTGTCTTCCTTGCAGTAAATTCTTCTTCTGATACAGAGCGATTGTTCATGGGAGTTTATTTGTTGGTTTTCTTTCTCATTACTGGATTAGCATAGGGAAGCTTCCAGCAAATCCTATGGGCTTACAGACTTGGGTCATCACAGGTGTTGACAACCAACTGTATCCAAGTTAGTGATGACAGGTGGCTTGAATCGTGGCAGAATCCAAGGCAGCTTCAGGGCCCCATCTGCTGGCCAAGCACCAGCATGCAGTCCTGGTAGTTGCAGTATTACACCTTCAATCTACTGCAGCTGCCAGGGTCCTCATGTGCACCACCTGGGAGCCCTGGGGGAAGAGCTGGCTTGGCAATGAAGCTGCCTTGGCAATGAAGGTCTTTTGATTTGCTGCAGTGCTCATTATGACCTGAACTTTTGGACCTTGCCTGGTTTCCTGGCATCTGCTCTTGATCCTGCTCCAACCCTTAGGTACCTGCTCCTGTTTGCAGTGCTTCCTCAGTTTCCTGACCCCTGTGGTCTGCTTGACAGTGCTTTCATCTCTTGGACTGGACTTACCTTGCTCTTCCACTCTTGGCCTTGATCTTGGACTGTTGGATGAAGATTTGGGTTTGTTTGGGATTGCACATTGGACTCTAGCCTGGTTGCCTGTGTCCTGGTGCCTGTGTCAGTTAGCTGCCCATACCCTTGAAGTTGACGGTACACCACATGGTGATCACAACCATACTACTATCAGCAACATTGAAGTGTTTCTGCCTAATAATTCCAAATTCATGGAAGCTATAAATATACTGTTTTTGACTGTTTCATTTCAGTCTAGTATTTAGTTCCCGTCCTTTCTTTCAGCAACACTCTATTCTTTCATGCATGTGCACAATACAATCTCAATAGATTGAATTTCTATCACATATTTACATAATGGATATTTGTAAAATTGTGTAAAATTAATGTTGTGTACATGTCAGTAATTCAAATTAAAACAGCAACCTCACATAGCATGTTTAAAAAAGTGATTTCACAATGTAAAAATATTTCCAATGGGGTTAAAAATGAAATACCCCATCATAATGGGCAATGATAAACTGAAAACAAGCTCATGGCAGTATCTATAGTATCTCTTGGTTTCAGTGTTTGTATCTCTTTTTCAGTGGTTTCTTTTGTTCTGTAAGGTGACAGTGCCAATCTTCATCATTCCAGGTGAAGCTCTTTGTAGCTTAAGTCAGCTCTTTGGTTTTTACTTAACAGGTCTTAAAGCTGTGGCTGAATGAACATACTCTTGGGATGTAAGGATCAACCCTGTGTAATTTAGATAGTGGTTGTTTAATTTATTTAAAACTTTTATACCCTGTCCACTACTTTGATGTCTTGGGACGGACTACAACAAAGAAGAAAAAAATGGCTTATTTCCTTATTTGTCACTAGTTAAACTGCAAACTTACTTGGGCAGAAGCAATTTTGCTTTTTGGAATGGCACTTTAAGTCCTCATACTGGACTTTTGATATATCTGCAGTAATGCAGTGAAAGCAACATGGCAACAACCACAATAATAGTAACATAGGTGAATCAGTTTTAATAACATGATAGCCATGAACCAATTAAGGCACAATGGGTTGTTTTTTCCTGTAGCTAAACCAGTAGCTGGTACCACAATATGCAACATAGTTGGTATTGTGGCCAGACAACTTCAACCAGGCAACAATTGTGGCTTGTTTTTGCTGACTTCAGATTGTTTCTCCCTCTCTCTGCTCCCAGCATGCATCTTGGGAGCCAGCAGGCAAATGCTGGCAATGCTTCAATACAACTTGTTTGTCATTGGTCTGCACGTCTGGATTTGTTACTCCTAGTTACTCCTGGGAATGTACATATAGTTGCAGTGAAATGATTTCTTTTTCCTGTTGCAATATTATCTACTCTACTCTCATCCTTCTACCCTGTTTCTAGTTTACCAGTCTGCTCTGCGGTCAACAGCAGCATCCTTGACTCCATTCACCCATGCACCCGCCTTCTTCCATGAAGTTATTCTTCCCCACTCCCTAATTCCACTCAAATACTCTGCCTTGCTGCTAGCAGCAGTGTTCCAGCCTTTCATTCACCCACATATCTTCCTGCTGCTGTAATGTAATGCTCCCCTTTTGTCTTCCCACTCTTATTTATTTAGGTTTTCATACCCCATTCATTGGCCCAGGGTTCCCATTTCCATCCCATTGATCTACACTGTTGTGTGCAGCCTCCACTCCTTTTCTCCTTTTCCATCCCCTCTTCTCTGTCATGCAAAAACATCCACTACTGTTTCTTCCCAGACTTTCAACCTATTCCTACCAGGAGAGTGATGAAGTAGGGGTTAATGGTAGGCATTGATACTATTTTTTTACCCTTTGCCTGGCACTGAAATAGTACTGCCAACTGTGCTCACTCATATCCTCAACATATCTCCCCACTCCTGTCTGTCTGATTCCTTTACCATTCAAAAGCACTTGCATTTCCCCCATTTATGTAAGACCAAAAAGCACAAGTGACATGGATTACAAAAGAGAGCTTTCTAAAATGTTGCTCTGGGGTTGTATAGGAAGCAAGCATCCACTTTGTTTTTGGGATGTAGTTAAGTGCCTAATAGCCATGCATATGCCATGCAATAGGTAATCATTGAGAACATAGGATATTGGTTCCAGATAAATTCAGCAATAGCTACACACATTGCTTGCACTTCAAAGTATAATGCTTCTTCTGAGTAGCATGGAGAGGGCATGCTGATACTGGGGATTAATGGGGATTGCATCACTCTAAGCCCCAAGACTGGAAAGATGGTTGTTCTCTTCCAGGAGCAATCACTCCTTGGTTTGCAGATGTTTTGAATAATTTGTTACCAGGCCTTCTTCAGCATTGAGAAGCATGTGCAGAGTGTGCCTTCATGACTTCTTTGCCGAAACACTCCACTGGTGGTATTGACCAACTGTTCTAGTAGTGGAAGAGGTTCCTTTTAGATGCTTGTGGTACATAGTAATGTGCCACGAACCAAAGATCAAGCATGAATGTTTAATTGCCCAGAATGAGAGGGAGGCCTCATCAGCCATTGCAGGGGTAGGGGTGAAGAATGTGCCAGTGACTAGCTCATCTACAATAGGTGAATTTCAAAAGTCTGCTGTGTTATGATTTCTTCCAGAAATACCTGCATATATGTGTGAGAAACCTGTCCTTGGCATTTACACCTGCAAAACCAGGCTGTAGAAGCACTTGTGGTTATAGAAGTCTTTCCCCGCAGTAATAAGTATTTTAATTTTAATATGGCACAAATCCAGCTCCTTGACCTGGAGGTGGAAATTTAAGTTTATAGAAACTTTAGATGTTATGTTGTCCCTTGCCAGATTAGATAGCTCATGCAGGAGTTGTGTTAGCAGTAGTTTGCCCAGGTTGATTGTCAGTTTATAGAAGATCAGTGCTAACCATTTTTAACAGGAACAACTTGGTGCATTACTGTATTTTCCCACAGGTTATTTATTGAATTTATTAGATTTATATCCCACTTTTTCTTACATCAAACTCAAAGTGGCTTATATCATTCTCCTCCTGCTCTCAATCTTATCCCCACAACAACAACCATGTGAGGTAGATTTGGCTCAGAGTCTGTGACTGGCTCAAAGTCACCCAGTTGGCTCCTTGTTGTGCAGGAACTAGAACCTATATTACTTGAGTCCCAGACCCATGTTGTTAACCAGCACACCACACTGGTTTTGGGCTAATTATTGGGCCACTTGGGGATGGTCATCACTGGAGATGGTGTCAAACATTTTTCATGACACATAGAAATTTTCATGGAAATGGACTTCATCCTGCTTGAGTACTAAGGCCCAGACAGCTTCTGTGTAAGAAGAGTCCAGCTGTTTATTGGACTCTAGTCCACATCCAGGTGCTCAGCCAAACCATGTTTGATTAAAAACAGTGGGGATTATCCACTGTATCTGCTTTGTGTGTGCTCATCAAACTACTCTTTCCAGGTGCAGTGCTTCCTCTTCCATTGGAGGTGTTTTGTTTTTACAGAAAAAAGTGATCACCTTGTATGTATAATTAGCAAAACAGATGGGATCCAAGTGGGTAGGAGCTGCTACAATACTGGTGACTAGTGCTGTTGTAGTCTCTCCCATCTCCACAGGCAAATTTTCTCCTCCTTTTTTCTTGTTAATACTTTGTTGTACTTGTTAATACTTTGTATTTTTTGCCACACTTTCCTCTCCCATTTTTTTTGCATAATTCTCCCCTTTCTCAGTGGTGACAACTGTATAGTAGCAAAATTCTCCTCACTTTAATCCATTGCTTGAGCAACTTAGTAGGGTTTTTGTATTGTGTTTAGAGGATCATTGTAAAAGTTACACAGTTTATGGGAAGGGGGGTAAAAGAAAAAAAAGCAGAGGTCCGGATCGCTCAAAGTATAGCCCAATCTGTAGATGTTTGTTGATTGATTTTGCCCCTCTGATTCATTGTGTTTCCCTGATTATCAGTTATTTTCCTCCTTGTGCAGTTTTTTTCTGTTTGTTATATATACAGTTATTCTGTTCATGTTTGTTTAACTTTCTTTCTTCTCTATTTTGAAAGTAAGTATTTTCTTTTTCATTAGTTCCTCTTATTGAAAACCTCTGTTCTAGCATAAGCAGAAGACAGTTTCCTCCACTCATAGTCTGGTTCAATGCAAGTATTATGGTACATTCACAATCTCCAGCACTTTCAAGCTAGTCAGTTTTCCTTTCAAGTTTCTTGGAAAAACAACAAAAGTAATTTATCTGTGCGATGTCCCTTTTTGTTCTTGCTCTGTTCCAGAAGGCATGCATTTTAAAATGAAAGCTCTATAATGCATAATAAAAGAAGAATGGCTGCAACAATATTGCAATATTACAGCTCATCTATACCTACATTTTACCTGAAGTTATATTATATTACAATATTATATATTACAATGCAATATATATCACATGTAGAAAACATTTAAAATAATTGCAATGACAGATAATGGCAAGAGCAACCTCAAAGAAAGGATAATGGGGTGTTCTGGAAGGAGGGGAGGAGACTGGAGTCTTCAGGATACCAGGGATTTTGGCTGCAATGCAGCCTCCTTCCCTTCCTAGCTGATGTGCCACAGCTAGACAGCCAAAATCAGCTACTTACCTGACTTACACCTTACCTCACCTCCACCATTTCCCCAGGGTATGGGCAGCATGTATTGAGGCAGATACACTTGGACCCAGGCAACAGGACCCAAGGTTAGATGGAGTTTAAACACAGTCCAAAGTCCAATAGTGAAGTCAGAGCAGAGTCATAAAAGCCCAAAGTCAGGAACCAGGAGCGCATACCAGAGCAAAGCAAGGGCACTGTCATGAACAACCCAAGGTAAGACAACAGAGCAAGGAGCAGGTACCCTGAGGCAGAATAAACTGGCAGGATTCAGGAGCAGCAAAGGTATAGCAAAGCAAGTAAGGGAGCAAGGCTGGACAAGGCGAAACAGGACAAGGCAAGGCAGGAACTGGGGCCAGATAAAGGTCAGACAAGTTGCAAGCTCTGGACGACAGAACAGCAAACAGACCTGTGTTGCTGAGACAGCTTCTGGAGGGAAGAACTTGCTTTTCTATAACTCTTCTCTCAGGATTCCCAGTTGGTGCTTATCAAGGGTCTGAGAACTCCACGAGTCTGGGGCCAGCCCGGCATTTACTAGGTTAGTTGCACTGATCGTTCACCAACAGGTAGAACCCTAGAGCTGCCCAGATCCTGATACCACCTTGCATAGAATGCCTGTAGCCCTCCCAAGTTTTTAAATGTTGTGCTGGTGAATGTATTCACTAGGGTTGTTCCTGGAGAACAGGGGATTACCCAGTGAATTTTTTCCAGGACTAGAAAAAAATCACATGCACACACATTTCATGCCTAAGAAAGACTAGTTCTATTTGCTGTTTTGTTTTAAAATATGTTTATAAAGCCAAATAACATGAACTTCTTGGTTTTTTATGGATAAATGTACAATTATTTTAGACTATATATGCAGCTTTTTCTTTAAAGCATTCTTGCAACTTTAAGTTTCTTAGTAGAATTCCTCACTTAAATATCTGTACCTGGCAAATATTTTCGAAAATTTAATTCTCTACTTTGTAAATGTTGTGGGGATTCCTTTACACTGGAATGTGCAGTCCATATTGCTTTTCTTGGAAAATTTATGAGCAAGATTTGACTGTCATCCCAGTGAATATTCTGGTGAAAAGAAAAACAGGAAATGCAAATAACCTCTGATACCAGCACAAAAAGCTCAAGGAACAAAATGAAACAGATAAAACCCATATGTTGATCCAAGTTAGAAAATTCCGAAATAGTTTTTTCTTTGTTTTTTGGATGTCTACATCCTATGTGCACTTAGTATTGCACCAAGATTTACTTCTCAGGAAGCATGTTTAAGATTTCATCTTTAAAGTGCATACTTAGACAGAAAAAGGCGCACAACTCCCAGCATGCCCCAGCCAACCATAGGACTGTACCCTTAAGAGGCTTGGGACTAACTCTATAGAGAAATCTGAAATGTATTGCAGTAAGTAAATTAACTGCAGTAAATATCCATTTTCATACAGGTTGTTCACATGACTATCAAACATGGCAAAAATGACTCCCAGACAGATTAAAAATTGTAAGTTTATAAACAAACATACTTAATGTTATCTTGTGATTAGTACTGACAAAATATTTTAGCAGAGAGTTCCTCACAAACACAATTAACAAAATATAAACTCCTTTTTTTACAAAAATACCAAAAGTTTCAATGTAGCTGTTAACAACTTAACTTATTACAGTGACAATTACTCCATGTTTCTTTGTAGTTTGAACTGAGTATTCTTTGTGCCTTTCCAGTTGTTCATCTTCTGTGTCTTGTTCAAATGTTCCTGGGAAAACAGAGAGCTTGTCTTTGGGACACTCTTCATAATAGCTCCTGACATATTTTCCAACAAGCCAGCCTTTGTATTCCTCAGGTTTTCTGCATTCTAAGCCATTATAGTGAACACTATAGTGGTGCTTCAACCAGTAGAAAAGATAATGAATGTTGTAGTCACATCTCCAAGGGTTTTCTGTAAGCCACAGTATTTTCAAAAAGTACAAGTGTTCCAGTACTCCGTATTCAAAGTTTTCCAGGGAGTTGTTTGATAAATCTAGTTCTTCCAAGTTGATTAGTCCTGCAAAAGCAGCTATTTGACAAAACAAACAAACTAGGAATAATGAATACACTATGTACCTTCTCAGCTGGTTTGTTAAATTCATTATACTACTATATATCAGATGAAATCCTTGAAATGGTTTGCATGTAATGCTAATTCCTGGTGTGTTTAATGCAGGAATTCTGGGATGAGTAGAGTGCTTGAGTCACAGAAGAGCCATTTTTGCTTTTAAGTAACAATCTAGGAAACCTCTCATGAACCTGTAAAATCTGGTTCATTTCTGGGATAAACAAAGCAAAGATGATCTAATAACAAACAATGGATTAACTCTGGGTTGTTTAAACCATAAACAATGCAAAGTTTTTGAGTTCTGGGGTAACAAAACAACCCAGGGAAAGGATGTTACTAGATTTTTAAATAACATCATATGAGCCATTTCCAGTTTTATGTGTGAATGAGGACCTTGTGTTCTGGTCCAGATGATGAATATTTTGGCTTAAATACTTCCTGTTGGATGCACACCTTAAAGTGCTGAGGGAGTTTAGAAGTGACAAAAGCTGAGGGTAATGCTGCCAGGAGGCCAGACTGTCTCCCTGGGCTGGACTCCTAGCAGGTCACCCAAGGCAGACTAAGATGCATCCACTTTCTTAAGGAGCAACAGTCATATCAGCAGAAGAGGATCAATATCTCTAATGGTGATGGGTGCAGAAAAATGCCTGAGGGACAGCTACTTGGAAGCAATGGTAGTTGACACTGGAGGAGGATCTTTCACTGACAACAGTAGTGGTAATCAAGCTAACCTTGGTTAGTGTGCTGAAGACAATGGTAAATCACTTCTGAATGTTTCTCATCTTGTAAACTGTATAATGAAACAATCCAAAGTGAAACAAGAAGTTCCAGAAAATGAGACTCCCAGTTTGGAAGTTATTTAACCAGTTACTGGGGTAAAGAACAAGTAAGAATAGCTTTGTCACTAAGGATGCAACTAGATCAAGGCAGAAAGGAAGTTTAGCAGTTGACCTGCACAGAGGTGAAATGCTTCACAACATATACAACTAAAACATAAGAATCATGAATCAAAGCAAATTGGAAACTATAAAGTAAGAAATGGAACATTAAATATAGTACTTGATGTGAGTGAACTACAATGGACTGGTATGAGAAATTTTCAGTCTGGCAAGTACATTGCATTTACTCAGCAAACAACAAACTCAAAAGAACTTGAGTGGCTTCAATATTTTGGCAAGATCCAGCATAGGCAGTGAAGGGATACAATGCAGAATCTGACAGCCATATCAATCAATTTTTAGAAAATCTATTAACATATCAGTCATTGAAGTCCACACTCCAACAACAGATGCTGAAGAAGAAATATAAAACTTTTACACAAATATCCCAGAGGAAATGGCTAACATACCAATCGAAGACATGCTGATAATCATAGTTGACTAGAACACAAAAGTAGTATACTAAGCAGAATCAATTGTTATGGGAGGATTTGGCCTAGGGGTTTGAAATAAAGTAGAAGAATGATCCACTGAATTCTGTGAAGTCAACCATCTGTTTATTGCAAACACATACTAAAGGTAACTGATCAGATGACCAATATAGAACTCAAATAGACTATATAACTGGAAGTAGGAAAGCTGTTTTTTCATTGCCAAAAGAAGATCAGGGGCATATTGTGATAGTGACAATGTACTCTTAATATCAATAATCAGAGCAAAGCTGAAAAAGACCACAAATGGTTAGGCCAACATGCCAAAATACAATTTAAATACAATTTGAATTCCTGAGGAATTCAAAGTCCACATAAAGAACAGATTTACATTTCAAATCTGAATTGACTGTGAATTGGAAGAGCTGTGGACTGAAACCAGTGACATTATTAGGGAAGACAGTAAAAAGATAATTTCTGTAGCAAATAGAAAAGGCCTGACAGAAGGAACACAATTGCCAAAAACAGGCAAGAAGCAAAAGGTGAGAAAAATGGTAAATCCTGAATGCTATTGTTCAGTAAATTCAAGACAAAAACAATTATTACAAGGGCCAGTGCAAAGAAATAGAACAACAAAAAAAGAAAAAACGAGACCTTTCCCAGAAGATCCAAAAAATCAAAAGAAAATTGAGTCCTAAATTAGGAATGCCGAAAGACAAACAGAGGGAAATATTGTACGACCAGGAGAAAATAAAACAATATACAAAAGAACTGTACAGATTGATAGAATAATCGCTGATCCATTTGCAAATGAATCCTATGTGGGAGAAGCTGCAGTACTAGAAAGTGAGGTGAAAGCATATCTGAGAGCACTTGGAAGGAATAAAGCACCCAGGGTAGCAGTAGATTTCCAAGCTGCAGAGATCATAGGAAGAATATGCCAACAAATATGGTAAACAAAAGATGGAAACAAAAGATTTTCCACAGACGGAAAATCTTCAATATTGTCGTGCCTGACGCCCCAACAGAGGCAGCACGTCACGAGGAGGATTTATACTTGAGACCCTGTGACCAAATGTCCCTTCCACAACCTGGCTTGGGAATAGCTGAACGGATAGCCATCCCTCATCCTGACCCTTTACCCATTGAGCAAACAGCCGAGCCTATGTCAGACCAAGAGGGCCCCGAAGGAAAAGACACTATAAGTTCTGCTCATGGAGAGCCTGGGCAGACTGCCCCCCTTCCTCCTGACGTTGAACCTCCTGGGCATGACACAGGAGACAGGGTAGATTTATCCCGCGCAACCCTTAGACGTTCTTTACGCAGATTGGAACAGAAGGAAGCTTTGCCCCGCCTCAGGGGGGAAAGGTGGGAGAGAGAAAGCTAGTCCCACGTGGGTTCTTTGAGAGACGTCACTAAGGAGTTAGCATCTGCCTTGTAAAGACCATTGCAGTAGAGCTTATCTGTAGCGTTGTAAATGTTGTAGATAAGTAGCAATAAAAGACTTTAGTTTTATTGCTTGCGAACGTGTGGGTTGTTTATATTGTGAGCCGCCACTCACAACAAATATATATTCCTATATCCACGAAAGGAATGCAACAACTATAGGATCATTGTATTAATTTCTCATGCAAGCAAAGTTATATTCAAGGTGTTACAACAAAGAATGTTACCCTATATGGAACAAGAAATCCCTGATCAAGCTATATTCTGAAAATGAAGAGGTACCGTATTTTTTGCTCTATAAGACGCACTTTTCTCCCCCTCAAAAGTAAGGGGAAATGTCTGTGCATCTTATAGAGAGAATATGTGTGTGCAGTAAGTCTGTCAGATGTGCAGCCCATGGGGAAGTGATGAGGAATGTGCCTGTGATTATGTGCCCATTTGATTCAGAATATTTTTTTTCTTGTTGTCCTTCTCTAAAAACTAGGTGCGTCTTATGGTCAGGCGCGTCTTATAGAGCAAAAAATACGGTACTTGAGATGGTATTTCAGATATGCATTGGCTACTGGAGCATACTAAAGAATTTCATTAGATTTATAGACTGCGACAGCCTTTGACTGTGTGGATCATGAGAAGCATGGCTGGTTCTGAAAGAAATGGATGGATGTGCCTCAGCACTTGATTGTCCTGAAACATAATCTGTACTGTGGAGCTACTTTTAGGACACAATATAGAGAAACAGAATGGCTTCCTTTAGGCCAGGGGTCGGCAACCCACGGCTCCGGAGCCGCACGTGGCTCATGAACCCCTCTGCTGCGGCTCTGTCGCTCAAAACATGCGCCGGCACAGCCGCTGATCTGCTCGAAGCTCCACAGCACAAGCTAGTTAAGTAAATCAGCAAGTTAAGTAAATCACTACATTCCTCTGCTAAACAAGAGGAATCACTACATTCCTCTGCTAAACATTCCTCATGTTACATGAAAGCTGCTGAAAGGATTCTCTTTGTCCCATTGTAATCTCCTTCACCAGAATGTTAAAAGCTGCGCTTGGGACCTGTCACAATTCACAGCACTTGACTGTTTATCTGCTAATCAGTCACTAAACACACCTATATCTGATCCAATCTGCGGATCCTCGCTGATTTACTGAGCCCCCCCCCCCCCCCCCCCCCCCCCCCCCCCCCCCC